AATCTTAGTTATATCAGAAGAAAAAAAAAATATTTAGCACTTATTTTTTCCTTTTTATTACTAAGAGCCAAGTTCACTAGATCAGAGGTAGGCAACCTCCAGCATTGCAGATGTTTTGGACTACATCTCCTCTGATGATTTGCCAGCATTATAGCTGTAAGAGCATTATGTGAAATGTAGTCCACGGCATCTGGAGTGTTGAAGGTTGCCTACCCCTGATCTAGATCATTTTTTTTCAGGGGCTGTAGGATTTTAGGAATATCCCTCTTTAGGGCCGTAATACTCATTGACATATTGTTGGTATATGATGCTCTGCACATAAACATGTACTGCACATCTACTACCCCTCAAAACCGAATCTTGCTATGCAAATTACAACTAAGGCAGACCTAGAAAAATCAAAGATTGTCCATCAAAGATATGCAATTAAAGCAGTGAAAAACTTTGGGAGATACGCACAGAAATTAATTGGTTACTGAAAAGGTAAACGGGGAGATGGATTAGGAAGAAAAAAAAATATGGTAAGAGGGCAAGACATTGGGGGACAGATAAGAGAGGGATAAGACACTGGGGGACAGATAAGAGAGGGCAAGAAATTGGGGGGACGGATAAGAGAGGGATAAGACACTGGGGGACAGATAAGAGAGGGCAAGAAATTGGGGGGACGGATAAGAGAGGGATAAGACATTTGGGGGACGGATAAGACATTGGCGGACGGATAAGAGAGGGATTAGACACTGCTAGATTGGATGGGGGGAGGGACACACACTATACATGCCTTTGGCAAGAAATTCTTTGAATGCTGATGCTCACCATAGAATGGGTCAGAAACACTTTAGTAGTCCCACAATGAGCTAGTGTATTGTTTGTCCCTCTCTCCAATTTAGGCAACACTGCTTGAAGAATATTCTGTGTCATGGAGCGCAAGGCATCCCTCTCCTCCTGTGAAGCTGACCCTGCAAATACATGAGACATACTGATTAACTCACAAAGCTATAGCTGTGCAATAATGGTCAGATTTCAGTTAGGCAAGCTTTATGTACATATACGCAGTAGTAGTTTAAATGCTATATGAACATCTCCATAATAAAGGATAACCCTACAGAGCTCATCAAACTAAAAAAAAACAACAAGAAAATGAATACTACCATCTGTCTAAATACATAGATTAGATGATCTCCGGTATTCTGTTTATCAGCAACTAATTCCTGATACAACATTTACCATTTTCCCCAAGCTGTGTAATAAAGTCACAATTGAAGTAAGAATTAATTAAAAATAGAGCAAGCCACATGACTCAAATGAAGGTTGGATGGATGTCCCAAGGTGTAATATGGTTACTTTTTAATTCTGAAATAAGTGAGTGAAATATTTGTAAGAGTGTTCTAAAGGATGGTCTGTCAGTTGTTTTTAGCAGAGTAAAGTTACTTATATTATTTCAAAAGGAGTCATTTTAACATTTCTAAAGTAATATACGAATTATCCAACATATCTAAAGCAATTAATAAGTGGTAAGAAACGAAAGGGATAGGAGCCTGAAGTTGCCACTCCTCCAATGTGAGGGTTAACCCCGGTTTAACTATTCAAAAAGGGAAAGAGAAATAGGGTGGAACTAAGAACAGATGTGGCTGGAATATAATACCGTACTGGAACCTATGTCCTATTAAAACTCAACATTTAATTAGTATAAAATGTAAAAATCCAACTAGTGGACTGAAACAAACAAGACTAACCACAAAGATACAATGGTATATATACAGAAAAAAGGAAAATGTTGGCGGACACGTAGCAGCGCCCTCGTGAGGATTCGAGAGCCCCACGGTATCGGTGCAAGTGTCAGACCACCATTAGGATGGTGCAATAAAAAGTACAAATTGATGCACACTTGTTACCAGCAACTAAAGGTGGACTGCTAAATAACTATTCTTACTTCATTAGGATGATGTATTAGAAAACAAATTGATGCACACTATTTGCTAGCAATTGGAGGTAGGCTGCTAAATAACCAAATCTACCAGAAAGGATGTTGGCTGAGAAAATACTAAATACACACTTATTGCCAGCAGCTCAATGTGGACTTCTTGATAACTAGTCCTAAAGGGTGTATCAAATAGAAGTACTGTTAGGCTAGCCAGAGCAAATTGTTGCATTGTTACTATGTTACAAAGGCATTTGCTGCATGCTAGAGACAGTGTGAAATGTTGCAGACTATTTCATCAGCTACATTTCACACTGTCTCTAGCATACAGCGAAGATTGCCACACCACTGCTATGAGTTAAATGCCTTTGGAACATGGCAATAATTTGCTCTGTATAGCCTAACAGTACTTCTGTTTAATACCGCTTACCTAACGTATTTTCTGTGTAAGCCCTACAACTTGCTTTTGTCCCTGACGAAGGTGCACACATGAATGCACCGAAACACGCGTCGAATTTTTAATCCGTTGGGCACTTATCTCTTTGCACCCACCACTTGGTGATGTCTATGTGAATATAGACATGATCTTTTAAATTTCACTATTCATATTTTCTGACTCCTTTACCGGTTTTAGTTAGATTATGAGGGAGAGAGGTCTACTGCTATTCCTTTGCTAACTAATCTACCTTATTGCAGTTTATTGGTCCGCATACTTATCTATTGCTTACCATTCTTTTGATATCACATCTCCTATTTTGTATTATATAAATATATATTGGGGATCTAAGCAATAGTTGCCAGCAGTGCACTGGTTAAAGTTCAGTAACTCTCCTATGCACACAGAGACATTTTACCCATCTTTACCCTGGTTTCCTTTATAACTATTATAGTTTCCTTTATAACTATTTTAGTGGGGTAACTGATTGATTCTATGTATATATGCTTTATACTAATAAGTCTGCACAATAAAGCCTTCTGACTCTAAGCAACATACAGGTTAAGATATAACCCTGTGTATAGTTATTTGGCTAGTGGATATATATGTATGTGTAAGTTTTTCACTGTTCTGTACCCTGCTCTATGTCTTTATATATATTGAGTAGTGACTATATTTGATAGAATACTTACCTCATTTCCAGACTGGCACTTACCCACATTGTGTGGATTAAGTGTGCGTTTGTATTTTGTTATGTGAAATGTTGTATTTGTCCTTTGGCTAGCGGAGGCTCTGTTTTAACATGATTACTGTATGCCTCGCACACAAACACTACATTTACCTCCGGAATGTTTGTTTACGAGAGCTTGATCCAATCATAAGAAAGAAAGAACAGTGGAAAGCAGAGGTGGCAATAGCAGGGGAAATCCTCACAGCCAGTTAGCGACTGGTAAGAAAGGAAAAAGGAAAAGAAGAGGTATATGAAACAGTATGAAACAAGAAAAGAAAGTTGTTACAGTGTACACGTTGTAATATGGGGCCCTATAAGAAATTAAATCAATATGTTTCAAGTTTCCTGCTCTCCCATTGGTGAATGATTTTCTGGATGGATATTTAAGATGTGTTAATTGTGCTGATTAGGTCACACCTGCTTCTGTGTTAATACTGCCTTATCACAGGGCAGCATTATCACAGGGCGGCATTTAGCAACAAGATTCAGCTACTGGAAACAATTATTTGAAATAATGTTGCTTGAGTGAGCAAAAAAGTGCTTTATTGCAGTTAGGGTTTAATGTGAAAATACGAACACATAATGCAATGCATTTGTTCTGGTGAATATAGCATGTCCCTGCAGGCGTTTTGCAGTAAACACAGTCTTTTCAGAGAAAACGCAGTGTTTACACTATAGCCTAGGGATACCTTTCAACGGCCACTCCTCAGATGGCTACTAGAGGTGCTTCCTGGGGCAGTGCTGCACTGCTATTCAGTCTCTCTATCCTCTACATGCAGACGCTGAACTTTCCACATAGAGATGCACAGATTCAATGCATCTCTATGAGGAGATGCTAATTGGCCAGGGCAGTGTTTGGCTCCTCCCCTGGCTGAAATCATCAAAATTGACAATCTCAGCCAATCCAATGCTTTCATAAGGGAAAGTATTGTGATTGACTGAGATCATCACTTCTGATCATGTCAAGTAAGGAGGCAGCACCAGCAGACTGGTATAAAGGTAAGATTTAACTTTATTTAGGGGGGCTAGATATTGGTTTTAACACTATAGGATGAGGAATACATGATTATGTTCCTGACCCTATAGTGTTCCTTTAATATCGCAGGACTTTGCAATGCGGAGGTTAGAGAAAATATAGATCTTTCTATTATAGCTTTACCTGTTAACTTCCACCTCTACAAAACTCACATCAACTATAAAATCCCCATTATAATTCTACCACCATATTATGTTAACTTTATAATTTCATAATACAACCACTGACTACCTATTAATAGAGCTGGATGAAAGAGCTCCTTCCAAATGACATTGTTTTTGCCATTAGAAAACAATGGCAAAGAATATAAACTATTATCAACATGACCAACAGATGTGTTTTCCACTTCAACAAAGGACTTTTACATCCAGGTATCACAACTTGTTGTGTTGGTTTACATACACAATATCCCACTGATAAAATATAAAGGGACATTGAAGACCTCACTTTGCCAAATAAATTTCCTACTAATTTGGAGCCTGCATTCATTGAAAGATGCATTCCGAGCACCAACAAAAACGTGAATGTATTTGATAGGTTATGGCCTCATTAATATATTTCATTTTTTGCAAGCTCAAATCTTAATCGTTTTTGCACAGAAAAAAATATATATGTTTTGCATAATTCTGCACTATAGGCCTGCCTCTCTAGCCACACCCACACACTCTACAAAAAGACTTCCTTGTTAAATGTATGCCCGCAGCTCAGCCACTTTCTGCACTGAGTGAGTAGCTTTTAATCTGCAATGAGACGGCAGACAGTGAGAAAAACTATAAACAGGTAGTGATATCCTTACTATATGTCTCCCTGAGTGTCCTCTCCTTTTAAGGCAGAAAAATTGGTAGTTCAGATCATTATAAAAATGTAAATTGACAGTCAGTTACTTAGGATTGTTGACTTCTAGCAGAATGGTACAACAGTATGAAAATGGCTGGTTACCTCGCCTCTTCTTTGCAGGTGAGCAGTCCTTTATATAACTCTGCAAGGTTGACTGCCAGGGAGCAATTATCCCATAGCGCCCCACAAAGCTTTGAAAAGAAATTCTAAAAACAAAACAAACAATGTAGTACATTAGTATGTATATATTTTATACCAGATTATATTTACAGTTTACTCTACTGCCCTGTATTCCCCCTCACTACTATGTATCATGGAATTCAGCATGCAGCATTTCATTATTCCCATAACAATTAGGGAACAATGGTTAAGAAAATTCCAAAGAGGATATTCTTCTTTAAGCTACTTTAAATAGGGCTTGGCCTTGCTCCCTGGGGGCGTCCATTTTAATTCCTACGTATCCAATTAAATTGCTAAAAATATGAATGTGTCTTCTAAGGAGCTAATTGTGCAACATGTTTTCCTTAACTGACAGAATTTATTCACGGTTAGAGAGAGGTCTTAATGCAGGTTTTATCAGGTTGTTAATGCTACATACCTTATAGGGAAGCCAGCTGCACTTATGTGAATAGTCTCCACAATGCCACAGGCCTCCAGCTGACTGAGCACCTACAAGAATACAACACACCCTATTAATGTTTGGGATGCAAATATTTTCAACTTACAATTTCACTGTGTAATATACTTTAAGGATTTATTACTATAAATGTTAACCATATTACAGTCGATTGCTCATTATCAAATAATAAGGTGCTTCAAGATGATAACTGACCTTGTGAGATCACTGTCATCTTCAATTGACAAACCAGTAAAATATAGAAAGTGTAGAAAGGTCCAGGCACTCCAAAATTCAACAAAAGGCAATTAATTTAAACCCACAGCCAAATCGTAACGTTTCGACCTACATGGTCTTTTTCAAGCTTGAAAAAGACCATGTAGGTTGAAATGTTGTGATTTGGCTGTGGGTTTCTACATTAAGCATTTTGTTTCCTGGTACGGAGACCTGATTTTGTTGCACCCAGATTCAGATTGGTAGGGATTGAGTGCAGTTCCATGCTGTTAATTTGGAAACCAGTAAAATTACACATGTAATCAACGTATAAATGCAGAAGATCTACCTCTACGGAGTGATAAGCTTTCACTTCTGCAGAAAATCTATTTCTAAAGCCAGCCTTTACAGACTGAATACCCACTAACATGGCAGACAGAGCATTACTGCCCGTAAGATGGCCAGCCATGTGGTAATACAGGAAATCAGATAATATTGTCTTTATCACAAAAAAGAATGTGGGCTGGGGCAACTAGAGCTCAAACCTGAGATGGTCAAAGTTATCAGCCCCTTTGGGAAATTGTAGCCGCTTAAAGAATAGTAATGTTTCAAATGGTGAAGGTATTTTTACTCTGTTTTGAGTAGAGAAAAATAAATAAATAAAGCAACCTCCATGTTTCTGCTGCCTCCTAAAAAAATTATCTAAAAAATAATGTGGCCAAGAGAAAGGCGCAGATTGGCGACTACTTTTTCAATCAAAAATAGAATGTGAACAAAATACAGTACGGATGAAAAAAAAAAGGGGGGTATCAGCATTCACCATATGTTTCTTCTCTGGGGTAATTCACATATCATTACATTACACACCAGGTATTACCTAGTAAAACAGAATGATCCCTTTCCCCATCCGCAAACATGCATTACAAACACAACAGCTTACCTCTTCCTTTCTGAATATCATTGCTTTGCACTCCATGTTTGGCTTGATACATCTGATGTAGTGTGGAGTTGTACTGTGCAAAATCTGCATTAAACGTTCTAGAGATCCCTTCAAAGACACAATGTGAAGAATATGACAAAATCCTTAATAAATAACTGAATTATCAAATCCACAGATTAGTTAATGGCTTCTTTTATTAAGCAAAGGCCCTGATCTTTCTTCTAACGCTCTATACGGCACTCAGATAACCATTTCAGCCATATTGCTCATTATGGAGTAAGGAGAAAGAAGCATACATTTTACTAAATATTGTTTCTTGTCCAAGCCAGGATGGAGGATAACAGGCAACAGAATAACATGAACAATTAATGGCATTTAAAAGACCAGTCTGAACATTCTGGGAAACAAAAACAAATATAAGAAATCTGAGAACAAGCAAAAACTTAGAGAAACTGCGTAGCTTGTCCTTCAGTAAATCCCCACTCAGACGTCAACATGTTTTTGCTAACTTGTGCTATTGCATGTACCATATTCATTACCATCCAAATGTATATTGGTAATTCCTCATGATGTTGAGATGAGCAGCATAGGGACTGGACTCTGAAGTGGTAGAGGTTAACACAGTAAAGGAGTTTAAGCATGCGTGGGATAGGCATAAGGCTATCCTAACTATAAGATAAGGCCAGGGACTAATAAAAGTATTTAGAAAATTGGGCAGACTAGATGGGCCGAAAGGTTCTTATCTGCCATCACATTCTATGTTTCTATGACTCTAAATGCCAAGAGAACCCAGATTTCGCCCAAAGACTCCTTGCACCAATACCTTGTAGTGGTTTTGGTGCTTACAGGGTCACTTTAAATGATAAGGACTAGAATTTCAAAAGAAGCACAATGAAAATGAAGAATTCAAGACCTAGATTCGGAAAACAAATCATGCATTACATAGGGGAGTCAATTATGTAGCAGATATTTATATTCTATCAAAGAAGTGTGGACTGTGGAAGACCAACCTTAAATTTGGAGACGACAGTCACCACAGCAGTCCGGTTATGTGTGTTTACATCAGTTACTTTATTGTTCTCGTCAGGAAAGAGCTTCTTAAGTAAGCTGTCCTCAGATTCTTGAAGGAGCTGGAGGAGTTCTGGAGGAACTGGATCCTATTTCAAGAAGGTTTCAGATTGTAAATGTATGGAATCAAAGAACATAAAAATAAGTCCACTTTCTACTGGAACTACTATTGGTGGCAACAGTTGCTTGCAGAAGACAAGATATTTGGGGGCTCATGGAAGATAGACATTTTACTGCGGGAATCCATGGAGCCCTGACCGTTATATTACAAACCCAACAAAAACTCGTTCACTATAACCAGGTTACATCTGGACTCTGAATTCTCATATTTACTAATGCAAAATCCTGTCCAAATACAGCACTGCCCGAATGTATTTGATGTTTGTATCGGGATCTGCATGCATAAAGCACAGATTTTAAAGCAAAGTAAAAGATCCAGACATTTACAGAGCAACAATTTTAAAGAAATTCAGGAACAAATGCATCCGATAGCATGCCCATTTGATCATTATAAGTTTAAAATTAAAATAAAAAAACCTTATGGGTAGTATAGTAGTATGACCTCCACTAAGCTAACTACACAGAGGTTTAAACCCTCTATTACACCCCCATTCGGCATGTTGCTGATGGAGGAACATCTGCTAAATAGTGTACTCCAAGCTGTTACATGAAGGTCTCAAAATGTTCTTCTGAGTTTAATTCCCAAACCCAGGTACACACATCGTGTTCTTCCTTATTAAACTAGAAACTAAAAATACTAAACCACAGCTGTTCTAGTCGAAGAGAACAATTGAAATACTAGTATAGATTGTACGGTTTGGATTTCAGTACCTTGTTTTTCTCTGCCATGTCTTCGATTTGGTATTGCACTTTGCCAGCATAATGGGATACAATAAAATTAGGCAGCTTGCTAAACATGTCCCTTCCAATACACTTGTTATGAGAGAGTGCTTTTTCCAAACGAGACTGGAGCTGGGCAGCGTCTGAGGACCGATTCAAGCGACATTCCTAAAAAGAGGAACACATGTCATATTTGGAAAGAGAGCTAGCATGTAACTCTGTACTAGAAAAAGAAGCTGCTAAACAAACCGTGCAAATATTTGTTCCTTATATTTCATATTTTGGATGAGCCTCAACGTGTGAGATATCCACTGCTCTTGGTTGGATTCCATCCTGAGACAGGAATTATAACGTCTCACACTTTGAAGAGTCAATGAAAGTTCCAATAAAATCAGTGCAGTGTGTTTTTGGAATTAAAGAATACTTGTTTCTTCTAAGTTTTTTCTATTTTTTTTTCGTCTTTAAGTGCAATAACATATCTGTAATATGTATGTATATTTGCATAGATTTTATTTATTTTTTTCTTTGGCACAGTTTGTCACAATTTGTATTGTTTTTCTGTGCTAAATTGGCCTGCAGGGAAAGATGTATTCATGGTTGGCCACAGTGACCAGGATTTGACCCAATTTAAACCATCTGAGGACTTGTATATTTTGTATAGACCCACGAAGAAGACAATGCCACAGGTGGTCCAATGGCAGGGGTGCAGGCAAAGGAGAGTTTCATTTACCTGAACCGGTCCGTTGTGGACGCAGCCACCATCATCCTGCTGGTCCTCTTCTGCTGTTGGCACTGTAGGCACCCATACCACTTCAGCTCATTGAAGTTGTCTGGGTGCTGTGTCTCTATTGCACTTAGTGCTGCAATGTAAAACATTGCAGTTCCAGAGAACTGTAACGTTTACATTGCAGCTCTAAGTCTGCCCACAGTGGCTGTCTACCAGAGAGCCACTGGGGGGCGCTTCCGGAATCCAAAAGGACCTTTGGTCCGGTATCTGACGCTGGACGTCCTCACACTCTGCATGAGGACCTTCAGCGCCAGATTTTCCCCATAGGAAAGCATTACATAATGCTTTCCTATGGGGAGGTCTAATGTGCGCGCCAAGGACCCTTTAAGAGTGAAGAAGGATTTTTCCCATTTTGGAACAAAATTAAAAGTCACTTTAAATGGTGGTTTTCATCTTATTTTAGATCAGCAAAAGAAAGACAGAAGCTGGGGGACCAGAGTGTTTTGTATCTTAGATTAAATTGTAATTTGGAAACTGTTCTTCTAAATGTCCAGGGCCTAATATGAATAAGCAGATGCAATTTTCACAATGCACGGTTTGCTGGTACCAAGTGTTTTTGCAACACAATCTTGTAATACCTGGCACTTCACAGGAAACATTCAAAACAAGAAATTATTCTTCCAGGTATTATTCCAGAAAATGAAAGAAGCATGTGAATTATCAAATTAATTGTTATCTTAAGTCTTAGATACACTTCAATTAACATTGTTTGTCTAATAGGATCATTCATAAAAATATCAATGGTCTGGAATTCAAAGCAAATTTAAACTTAAAGGGACTCTATAGTTACCAGAACCACTACAGCTTAATGTAGTTGTTCTGGTGTCTATAACCTGTCCTTGCAGTAAAAGAAAGAAAAAAAAAATAAACAAACAAAAAAAAAAAATGTCATCTCCACAGAGAAGGGGACTGGGGACCCTAAAAGATCAGATAACAGTTCACATGACCACTACACTGGAAAAGGTTTTGTAGAAACAATAATATGACAATGAAGGGGAGGTCAAACCAGAAAATAAAAAGTAGACCACTAGCTTAACAACTATAATAATTAAAAATATATATATAATTAAAACAAACAATAAAGAAAGTGTGTGTGTGTGTCATAAGCTACTAGCCAGGCGTTATGTGACTCGTCACTGCAAGCTTGGAAGGTCCATCGCACACTCACACGTGTTTAATTTCTACTTTCAAATACTACATTTTCATTCACCAATATCCAGTGCAAATTTTCAGCCCTGTTGATCTATGTGAGTTCTAGGGTGAATATGTTCATTGCAACATTTAACCCCTTAAGGACCAAACTTCTGGAATAAAAGGGAATCATGACATGTCAGAAATGTCATGTGTCCTTAAGGGGTTAAATAGCATACATTTAACATATAGAAACATACCTCTCCATCACAGGGACCATTTAATTATATTAGTAAATATGGATAAATATTTCATGAACAGCACAGTTACATACCTCATTGAGCAGGGAGAAGACACTGACAGGGTTTCCCTCCAGGAGGGCTACACAGCTCTGGTTATCCTGGTAGCTAATGAAAGACCATTCAAGTCCTTCAGCTGCATATTCGTCCTGTAAAATTAGAAAATACTTATGGCTTGTTGCAATTTACTAACTGCAGCCATGTTCCATACATTTCAAATATGTGGCTTGATAACAGCCATACTTTTGGTGAACGGTAAACAGTATAAACGCCAGGAAAACTCAACAACAAATGAAGTTATGTGCTCCATTACATTTTAAAACAGGAACTTAAAAAGTTTTTTCCTTTAGCCATGACAAATTCTTATTTCCTCACCCCCAGTAAATGAGGGTGCAGTGGTTACCATGGTGAATAAAGCAATGGAGGTAACTTTGTTCCATATCTGTGCTTTGAGAGACTTCACTATCCTATGATGCCTTGACATGCTCACTCAGCGCGTGCATCTCCACAGAAATGTCATTCCAGCACTTGGCCTCTTAAAATATTTCTTTATTAGTGCCATATGTGCAAATGTGCTAAGTCTACTGCACTGCCCGGGATCAGTTAATCCCATGCCCATTAGGGCATGTAAAGCTAAAATAATTAAATTGGTAATATTAAAAATTAAAATAAATAAGGGCACAACTATTTGCAGTCATGCAAAAATCTTACAAGTGACATTTTCGCTTTAACTTGTGCTAGTATCATGTAGGCACATACACAAGAAGTTTAGGTAACATACATTAGGGATATTGGCCAGAAGATGGGCAATATGTGGGTATGATATTTGGTTCCAGCACTCTGATATTGACAGGCATCACTCTGTTATCGACAGGCAGAAACCATAAATTGTAACGCAAGTTTTATTTAAACAAATTCATTATTAGCTCAGCATATTAATGCATTTTATATTATATTATGTGTCTAGTAAAACCTCTAGAGCACTTCAGTTTGCTCCCAGACTGCTCTCGGATTTTACCCCTTCCCCAAATCCCTACAATGCTGGTTTAAAGAGGACATGAGGCTTTTCTAGAACACTGGATTGTTTGGGAGATCTCCACTAGTGATTTCCCAGTGGCATAGTGGAGTTGTGACAAGAAGACCCTCTTGCGTCTGGATAAGAGGTAAGGAACTGCTTTATTTTACAGGAAGGGGGCCTTGAATCTAAAGAGTGTATTTAGAATGCTGGAGTGTTCTGTTAATATCTATTGCAGCTAGATGATACAAACCATCAATATCCATTCATCGACGGCTGACAGCTTTGAAGGCTGAAGCCCCAATGGGAATCCCATTAGGACCAATAATCCCTACTGGTTGTGGAGTGGGAGCAGGATACCAGTGTTTCTTTGGTTTATTTTCAACATAAATTGGCTTCTTCTGAAAGCAGCCATCCAAGGTAAAAATAAAAATCATTAGGCTGCTAAGGGGGTGAGGATAGTCCCCCTCATGTGACATTCGGGAGGATGACAGGACTATCCTGCAGTTTGAATCTTATAGTATATAACCACCACTCTATTCATGAACAGCATGCTGCCAGTGTTGGCAGGAACCTCACTAAAAGCATATTGGGAAACAGGAATGTGTGGCACATCAAAGAATGCAGTTTGATCACCGCTGGCCACACAGCCCAAATAAAGTGTAGTACAGGGAGACAAGTATGGGAGCAGATGGGCTTTGGCAGTTGTGTGGGGTTGATGAGAGTACTGGGAAATTGGAAACCTTTTTTGTTGGGAGAAGGGGATTTTATTGGTTAATTGGATGTTACGGGTGGAATGATGGAGTTATTTATAAGGAACACTCCAAGCATCAAAACCATTAGAGCTTCCTATAGTGGTTATGGTACCAGAAGTGCCCTAGTGCCAACCCAATGTGTGCAGTCAGACTATTTTAGAACAGATTGACTTCTGGCCTGGGGTCCGTCAGGCGTTACTCTCTGCCTCCACTACAGCTATTGGAGAGCTGCAAGCTCTTTGTCTGAACTAAGCCCAAGAAGTCTCTGCAGCTGATCAACACGCCTGCATTAGTCAAACCATCATTAATTATTTGTGTGACCCACTGGTTAGGATTATATCTGATATGACAAACCTCTTTGACAAGTTGAACTGAACTACAAAGTTTGACCAAGTATTCACGTTCGGTAACATGCAATACACCTGCCATGATGCATCCTCAGCATTTTGTCTGTAAGAGCGTTTTGGGTGATGAAGTCCACAACATATGGAGTGCCAAAGGTTGCCAACCCTGGCCTATGATATTAATTGTCCAGGTCGGTCTACGCCGACCATCCCTGGCAAAGTTTCAGCAAAGGCCATTTGGGCGCACTGCGCAGTATGCGGTGATTACCTGCTGAGCTTTCAAATAATGAGTCACAAAATGTTGCTGAAGTTTCTCATTGGCGTAATTTATACACAGCTGCTCCAGGTTGTTTTGTGGAAAGGATTCAAATCCATATACATCCAATAAACCTGTTTGATAAAAATAAATATGAAAAATAATGATAGTCCTAATTACTGTAGCCACTAGCTCACTCGCTAACTAAAGAAAAACATAAACTAAGTAAACTTAGTTACTAAGTAAAATTACATGGAGTGCACAGATGTTTTGGGGGTAACTTTATCAACAGTAAAATGTATCTCTCACAAAAGAGGATAGGGAGCTGCTATGGGAATATTAAAGATATACATAGGATGGAGGCAGTGGACACCGTAAGAAAGATTCTGGAATAAAATGACGAGTGAGTGGAGTGAGCTTTAACAGAGAGGGGGAGAAGGTGTGATGATATAGATAGGAGAACGTTATAAAGGAAAACAGGAAGCAGTCATGGATGAGACTGCTGAAAGGGAAAAAGAGGGTAAGCAGAAGGATAACAAAGAGAGGAGTTGAATGGAAGAAAGGACGAACGAAAAGAGGTTGGCACATTTAGATCTGTTAACGACTAGTTCTGGGCTGGCTAATGCCAATTCTGTTCATATTGTGTACACAGACATTCATTCATTGGTTAAAAGCGCGCAGTTGATGCTATCAGGCAATGAATGACTGTCAGGATGGGCATCCTGTTTCTGGAACTCTGCAGAAGAACCCAGGCAAGAAACAAACCTTTGAAAATTGGTTTGCCCCATTAACAGGGAATGATGCCAGGGTAAGCCTAACATCATAATCACTAAAGTGGTACTGTATATTACTAGGAGAAACCTTTAAAGAAATCATAAAGAAGTGCTACTGTTATGAATTATAACTGCAATGGAATATATTGTATGCATAAATATACACTGGAATAAATAAACTTCATTTTATTTATTTTTTTAATTCAAAATATAATAAACTGAAATTAAGTGCCCAGTGCGGTTATAAATACTGGAAATTGGCAAGTTGTGTAAAAATGCTATTGCTTGTAGTAATTAAAAAGGAATCTCGCTAAAGTATATCAGAAAAAAATTTGTACCAATGAAATTGGTCCATTTGTCGGAGATTGCACAGATACTTTCATTGATAACGGTCACCAGCCAGTCAAACAATCTATAAACAAAGGAAAAAAAGAAAATCATTTAGAAACAGTGGAGTTTGATACGAACTTATGCCCAAGTCATTTAAACAGGATAATTCTCATATCAGAGAACAATTTATAGAGAATTGCCATTTCAGAGAAGAGCTTTTTCAGTGAGTAATGTTCACATGATTGCACACTTTAGAGCAAACAGTTGGCTATTGAACTTACATTTCAACCTTTTAGTCAAAACAGCTGAACTGAACACATAACTAACTTGGAAGATTTTTCTATTCAGTTTAACTATTTTGTCTTAAAATTGGATATTCACTTGGCATTTGGTAAAGAACCATGACCACAACTAAAACCTGAGCGCTTATTACGGTCTTACTTGGCGTAAATTGTCTTGGCCAGGCAGTCCCTCCTCGTGTCGCACTCAGATTTCTTGCATGGCTTCTTAAAAACTTGTTTCCCAGCCGTTATCGTCCGAATACGCAGCATATCCAGCAGGCTGCTAGCAGGAATCCGCAATAGATTTGCAGTAACCGCAATAAAGTCTAATTAAAAATATATAAACAAAAAAATTTAAAATGTATTACACTACCCTAAAATATTGTATTATAAATTAACGCTTTAGTGAAGCCTCTAACTCTGGAACAACATGCTGGGGGATTGGGTCCAAACATCACTCGTAGCCTTTTTAACTTTCTCTCAAATGCTTTTGTCTCTAAAGCCTGTGCTCATCATTCTCAACTTTTAGCAAATTTGACCTCTACGGATGTGTTCGCTAAAGTGGGGAATAGCAAATCGTAGGACAAAATAGCAGAACTGTAATACAAATTCAACTCTATTTTTGTAGCTCTGTTAATTTGGCACCAGGTCAAATCAGTATCATTGTTGTCATTAAATATCAGCTGAAATACAGAAAGATAAATAAAATATAAATAGTAAAAATACTGTTGGATTTCCAAACCCATGGCCCATATTTAGCAGCATACTGCTACTAATTGCTGTGATTATAGACACTATCCATCTCTTAGTGCTCTCCTACTAGTAACTCAAATGTAAATAAGTCAATTGCACGCTCTCCAAGATATCCCCATAGCTACCACAACTGTACGGTATAATGGGCATATCTTGTGCATGTGCACTTCACCTGTGATCAGCCTAAGGTATCGGCTTTATTTGCAAATGAAAGTTGGTGCACACTTCCATTGAAATAGGTGTATTGAAGTATATTGATTTAATTTTTTGTTTTTATTATTCTATTTGTTGCCTTAACTTTTAAAATTTATTTCAATTATATTTTTATTTGAATGTCACATGACTATGTTTATGGGATTCCTAACAGGCAACAGATCATGGGTATGGGGAGAACTGGAAATGGGTGTTTCGTTAGTCTTCTTTAGGATTTCTCCAGTGGTGATCCATTACTCCTCTCTACAGAACTGTGATATTTACTGCTGATTACTTCCACTAGCAAAAAGGAAGTACCACAAATCAAATATTATATATATATATATATAAATTAAAATTGTGGAAGGTAAACAAAACTGGAGAATGCTCCTACCTTTGGCTTCACTAAGTGGTTCACAAGGCTGACTCTCGTCCAGTGAGTCAGCGAAGTGGATATTTCCAAGGTGCAGAAGTCCTGATAAAACCTTACATGGAAACAGAAAAGAAGTGAAATAAGCAATATGGATCAAGCACTTGTAATTAGAAGCACTGGGAATAGAAACCGAACTAAACCACAATAAAGCAACTCACTATCACACTTACAAAGGTAAGAATGCCTATCCATGAGCGGTATTCCATTTAATTGGGGTTTTTCAACCCTCATTTTTATTCAAAAAACTTGAAGATGCTGTCCAGGCACCAAAACAACCTATAGGTTAGGTTACCTATTTTAGGGCAGGGATACACCTTCCGTACTTCCGATGTTGTGGACTACAGCTCCACTGATTTGCCAGCATGACTGTAGGAGCATTATGTGGGATGTAGTCTACAACACTTGGAGTGCTGCAGGTACCAATCCCAGAAACCCTTGCTCTGCCCATAAAAAATACTACATTAGTGCACGTTACGCACTACAAAAAGGAAATGGGTCTGTAAAACTAGAATTATAATTTTTTCAGACTGAATGCAGTAGTATTTTTTTTCTTTTCAGGTGTATTTACCTAATCACGTCTTTCCATTCAAGCTAGTAAAAACATTAAAATTCAAAGAGGCCACCCTATTCATTATAACCACTATAGTGTGCTGTAGTTGTTATGGTGCCAGGAGTCTCCCCGTTGCTGTCCTACGGTAAATAAGGAGTCAAATGAACTGACACTTATCCTGGCTCCCTCATAATCACTATTGATTACCAGTTGTTTGTTTGTTATTTATTGGTTACTTACTCAGTTCTGGTATTTTATCTTTATTCACAAGGTTTCCCTTATCTATATACATGAAGTTTCCCTTTCATTACCAGATTTTGTATATATTACTTGAGCCTTACTGATTGCGGTAATTTTGTACTTTGTATGTCTATTTTAATTGTACCTTTCCCCCCCCCCCTTTAATTAGAAAATAATTTACAAAACCAGATACCAGAGTGTACTGTCTGGAGTAAAAGGCAGAGTGTACCTGTATTTGTATGAGGAGGCTCAATTTCAGGTGTGGAGGAGTCTACATATTGTGCATTTGTGTAGAGTCTGAATGTTGCGTGTAGAGATTATTTTGTTCCAATTGATAAGCAGGAGGGGGCTATCCCTGATGGTCCAGTACAGGGTGGGCTAGGGAGCAGAATCTAGCTGTGGTGCTCTGAGTATTAAGAATCGCAACAGATAGTGAGGGAGCGCTTAGTGTTCTACAATTGATACTGGAGCGGATTCCAACACTCCCTGAAGCAGGTGAAAGGGCTCGAGGCCAAGCAGCGAGAACCTTTTTTTTTCTTTTTTTTTTTCATTCTTTCTTTTATTGAGGCATGCAATTAATACACAACATTGGATTAGGATTATGAGTAATGTTACATGTACAAGCATTACGAGCACAAAAAACTCCCAGGTTAGGGAGATCTTTTAAATCAGAGTCAGAGCTGGCGCTCAAGGTCTACACAGGGGCCACCTCTCCTGTCTGAGCCCGAGCCATAAGTTGTCTAAGCCGCCTTATGGCTAATGATGGGAACTTACTTTTTAACAATTTCACATAAAACCAAAGGACTGTGGGCACCCGAGGGACCCAAGAAGTAAACAAATGGTTTGACTTCTTAAAGTGGGATGTTGCCAAAGGATTTCTGGCACATTAACCACAACAACTTGCTTATAGTGGTTATGGTGCTCTTAGACTATCCCTTCAAAAGAACAAAGACAAGTCATGTGAATATGTAGCTTTTTATACTAGCATATTTAAATTACTATTTAATAATAAAATAAAATAAAGAACAGGCAAACGTTTTATATTTATTCCCATAGAGCCGCTTTATTAATGGTAATATAACAGTGAAATTTTTTGCAAGTTTTATATGTACACAGGGTAAATTATGATCACAACTACTGTGGAGCCTGCATTAGGATTCAGTAAGAACGTCAACGTAATTATTTTTATTGATGTTTATATCGCCATTAAGGAAACCATAAAAAATGCTTACCTTAAATATATTATTCTGAATAAAGTGATCAATACCCAAGTGCAACATCGCATCTTTAGTTACCACAAAGCAATCCTCTGAAACAAACAATGGGAAACTATTGGTATAGAAACAAAACAAATACAGGCAAACAAACACATACATTATACACACACACACACACAGTCTTTTATTTTTGCATTCATGGTTCAATTCCTGCTAATTAAAAAAAATTAAAAATAGAGAGAGAGTGTGTGTGTGTGTGTGTGTGTGTGTATAGAGAGATATACATACACACACACACTCTCTCTCTCTCTCTCTATATTTTTTTTTTAAATTAACAGGAATTGAACCATGAATGCAGAAATAAAAAGACTGTATACACTATCCTGAAAACCTAGCATATTTAGAAAAAAACTGTAAAAGTACACTTTTACACACAGAACACTAAATTGGTATTATAACCAGAAATCATTTCAACTCTAGAGTCTTCTTTTCGAGATATAGTTTGCCCCGATAGATAGATATTTTTTTTTCTTGTAGAAAAGTACTAAATCTAAAAAATTGTTTTGTGAGTCATAGCCGACCACAATTAAAGCTAATCCCTGCTGAGTGACTCAACTCAGACCCAACTATCCATGGACAAAAAATGTGTACACATGCATTCAAGACAGAGAGAACAAAACAGTTACTGTGTTATTAAATGCACAAGTGTTTAAAGCGGCACTGTCATGGCTGCATAATTATTTTTTTAACCCCCTCCCACTCCCGACATTTTATTGCCCCCCCTAGTTACCACCAAATGCCATGGGTTCAAATGCTTCTCTATGAGGAGCATTGCATTGGACAAAAAGTCATTAAGTATGATGAGATCATTAGAGGTGGTCTGACTGCTCCCAGTGCTGGAGTAAAGGTACGTTTTTTTAAATCTGTGAAAGGGTACCTGAATCTAAATATACAAAAACATTCTAAGGTTAAAACCAAACATATTTACTTTTAATGTTATAACATATGATACTACAGCACCAACCGCATCATAAAATCCCCACTTTGGAATGAAAAGTATAACTTGCAGTCTAACTCAGGCATCCCTGACATAGATAAGCAACGATACATTGTTTAATCTAGTCAATTAAGATGACTTATGTTAGTTTCCATACAAAGGACTTGTAAAGCATGACCCAAAGGAACACGTCTTGCTAAAACATCCTAACAGATAATCAAATGCAAAGATATAAAAACATGAAGATTAAAGCTTGTACTGAAGAAAAAAAAAAAAAAGGACAAAACCCCATTTTACCTTCAAGTTTTTTGTCAGAATTTGGAAGCCAGGAGAACTGTGCCCCTTCTGGAAGATTCCATTCCGCTCTTTCGAGTTCAGTGGCACCATTTGTAATCTAAACAGAGAGCCAAATGGCAATGATTTTATCACGCAAATACTCTCACACTTGGGAATTTAAAGGAACACTATAGGGTTAGAAATATAAAGCTGTATTCCTAATACTACAGTGACCCCTTTGCCCCCCTCCCTGCAGCACTCAAAGGGTTAAATAACATTCACCTTATTCTAGTGTGAAGGTCTCTCTGCGCTGGCCTCGCCCTTTGTCATCATGAGGTGGAACCAAATATGCATGCGTGGGGAGTGCCGTGCGCGCATTAGGCCTTACCCATAGAAAAGCATTGAATCAATGCTTCCTGTGGGGATTTAGAAGACGTTGGACGTCCTCAAAAACTGCAATGTTTTCAGCTGCAAGGTTAAGGGGACAGGGACAGTGCATCCACATCACTTCAATGAGGTGAAGTTATCTGTGAGCCAACAGTGTCTTTTTAAATTAGTTCTTAATGTAAAATAAAAGGTCTATATAAAATATAAATTATATATCTTACATATAATGAAAGGACATTAATGTTAGTCCCCTTAAGGTGATAGACATTAATGTAATATCTAATAAAGAAACACAAATAAGATATTGTTGGTTGTATGTGAGGTTATCATGATATTGAATTCATGAATTGTAGAAAGCAGTCTAGATGTAAGAGTGTTTTTTAATCAAGTTGCCATGTGGCATTAGAAAAGTAGAGCAAAAATCTAAAAGGGGAAGATGGCAATGGAATGTTCCTCCTGTTTCACTTTTTTCCCCATGGTGATTGCCCCACATCCAGTACATTACACCCCTTTTATAATACAACACTACTTGTTTGTTTATTTAAAAAAAATAAAAAAATACAGGAAATAGCCAATGTTGACATCCCACTCATCCCACTAGAATCATGTCAGGATGCCAAGTCTGGGCATTACCACTCTAGTTTCATATGGTTACTTCTATTTAACCTACTGTCATTTTCCTTGGCAGTCTTCCTTTAAATATTAGAAGCGAAGAGCACGTCAGCAGACAAACCTGGTAAAAGATGTGGAAGTTCCTTTCTGAAGGGGCCTGATGTGCCACTCTGGTCTTCTCCAGGAGGTAGGTTTGGATAGAGGCTCCTGTGATTTGCTGGGTACTAGGAAGAAGCAAAATCACATCAACAGTTTGCAAGGTGAAAGACAAGTTCAATACGTAATAATGTAATTATGGGAACGTGTAGAGATGACGCTTCTCCTAGCTGGGATTTAAAGGGAAGCAAAGTATGGCACTTCCAATTAAAGCAGAATACAGAGTATAAACTATAAAATAAAATACGCTTTGATTTTCAACATTAAAGGGACTCTCCAAACCACTAAAAAAAAACTAAAAAAAAACTTTAGTTGGCTGAAGGGAGTGTCCTCTTTTTTTTCTTACAAAAAGTGCAGATTTCAATATAATTAAGATACTTTTTTTGGTTCGTTTTTTGAAATCTTTATTTTCATTGTGCATGAGAATACACATAGAGAAACTCACTGTGCCACAACAGCAGAACCGTAAATGTCATGGGATTTGAGGAAACAACACTTTTTTATAGGTTAGTAAAATCAAGCTAGATCAACTCTGTGTTAGTAGACAGCAAAAATGAAGAGTGAAAGAAATCACGCTAAAACAACTGGTGTCTAAAGTTAGATACCAACCTCGAAGGGCTCTGTGATACCAATATGGGAGCCCAGAGCTCAGCAAAGCTCAGCTAAGACAGTAGTAGCCAGAAACCTGCTCTTATAGCTAAACTAAGGGCATAAAGTATGCAAAACACATTTCAAACTGTGGTGTAGCCCGGCCGCACATTTGTCGCTGGTCAGCAAACTATGCGCAGTAGGTTAGGGCACGATAGTACCTTGATGGAGTGTGGGGCTGTATTTAGCTTGCCATGGACCAGGGGGGATTCAGCATTTCTGGGAGACCCCCTGCCCGCTCACAACTACACAGCTTCTGCATGCTTTCTTGCTCTCTGGCTTTGCCGGTGCAGTCTGTGCCTCCCATGGCGGCCACCACAGAGCCTGTAGCCACGTGTCGGTCTCAAGTACTTTGGGGAAGCAGCATTGGTGTGCGTGTTAGTGGGGTTGGCGTTGTAAGCAGGATGTACTTTTGCTGCAGGTTCTGCAGGAATGTAGTGAATAGGCCAGTTGTAGTCAACCTGGTCCCTACTGCCCACTAGTGGGCATTTCATGCTTTCATGGTGGGCAGTGGTGGGTTTTATCCACTACCCTTGGTTTTCTGGCACAACCACATGCTTCGCGCAGACTTACACCTCCCTCCAGCCATGGAGAGAGGCTTTACAAAAACGCCCAACACGCATTGGGTGAACGCTTCTGTTTTATAAATCTCTCTCGATGGCTAAAAGGAAGCGAGCGGGGGACTGTGGAGTGATGATATAACACGCTGGAAGAGAAGGGGAGCTGATGCACTCACTGTTAGAGCAGGCACAGGAAAAAAACGTGGCATTTATAGTGGCAGATATTAAACTGGCATGCTAATTTCTGTTATTTTCTGTTTACTTGAATTACTTAACATAAAATAATACAAAAAGAAGGAATAGAAAAGGAGGTCAAGGAAGGAGAAGGAGAGAATAAAAAGAAAGGAAAAAAGAGACCACTGATATAAAGATATAAAGATCACCCCTGCCGGTCCATAGGGGGCTTCGGTTCCATGAAGCTGCTTACGTCAGGTCAGGCGTTTGGTCACTACTTCCTCCCACAACGCCCGCTAGGCCTCAATCAAGCTCTGAAGAAATCACAGTTGTAACCCCAAGCCGGGTCCGACCGTGCAGGAGATCAGGTAAGCACAAATAGGACAGGATAGAGAGCCAAAAACACTGGCAACTGGACTATTTCACCGAATTCGTGAGGAGTGATTAGAGAACACGTCCAGTCGCCATGACATTCAGGCCCCACCCCTCGATTTCAATATTTATAATATATATTATCCCTGTTATACCCGCTTGGCTGTCAGACGAAACGTCCTGTTACTTCCTGGTTTGGTTAGCTCAGTGGAGCTAAACTCAAGGGGCAGCATTTGACCAGAGCACCTGCATTGCAAAGACTTCTCATTGAGCAGCATTGGGAAGTTTGTGATTGGACACCTACACAAAGTCTGGGCAAGATTAGGATGGGAGCACTTGCAAAGGTTGCAGACAAGAAATCTGCAGCTTATGCAAGTGATTTTTAGATAAACCCCCAATTAAAAAAAAGTGATTAAATGAATTCATGCATGTTTTCATTAAGGGTATATCTACTAAACAGTGCATTTTTTAATTTATTTGTTTGCTTATGGGCAGTGCAGTGTCCCTTTAAAGACTGTCTAAGAGTAACTGTAAGATATGCTGTCACACTTCTTATATAGGCTTTTGCTAGTAATCTATGGTTGCAGACTGGATACCACATGGATGTTTGTGCAGACCTGCATGCAAGTTCATAAATTCTATAGTATTACGGCATGGATTTAAAAAAATAAATCATCCTCATCAGAAACTTTCCAGGCTCAGAGGAGTCTCCATTTCCACTGGTAGCTAACAACTAACTACTGGACAATGGTCAGAGGCCGGATGAAAATGATGTGTTTATCCATTGGAGACAGCAGGAGAAGCCAAACCTGGGTCCCAGCTCAGGCTTTAAGTGTCGCACTGTATTTCAGCATTTAACATTGTGCAGCTGCCAGTTGGTGATTCTGTATGATATGTAGTCATTTGCATTTATCACCCACAAAACGCATGGATTACAAGTTCCCCATGGATATAGTTACACAAATTTAACCTAAGCTATGTGCTGTCACATTTGGCTAGAGCAATGTATACATACAATAAACAAGACTGTCATATTAGCCCTACCTATTTAACTGGAGCTGGATATATTTTCCAAATCGACTGCTGTTGTTGTTTCTGAGTGTGCAAGCATTTCCTGCGAAATTCAAGGAGCAAAAAATAAAAAGATAAAATTCCAAAAATGAATATTCTCCATGTCAATGCAAATTTGAGTTTAATAAAAAAAGAAAAAAAGAAAAATTAAAAGAAAAAAAGCAAACAAAAACAATTTGAATCAAAACTGTAATAATTAAATCAATAACACAACAAAACCATAATTTTTAAGCAGGATACATGGTTGTATTGTGATTTAGAGAACTCTAGAAAAAAAAAAATGAAAATAATACACAAAAGACATAAAAAAAAAAATAAAAAAAAAAAAAAAGAACTGACCAAGGTTTTCTTATATCACCCTACATTTCTGAAAACCATAAGAATAAGGAGGGTCGATATGGGATTGGGATGTATTAGTGAAAGCAGGAAACACTATAACAACAGAACGGAAGGCATGGATTAAATAGATGAAAATCGATATTTGACTGATAATATAGAGAGAAAAAAAATCACTAATATTCTTGGATGACACACTCCGTTTTGGAATGTTTACTATGGACCCTGTTAAGCATTTTGCATGATTTACAATAAAAACTTTAGATTTGACAGAGAAAAGAACATGAATAAGCTAAAGGGATTCTGTACATCATCAATTGTGAGCTCTGATTTGTCCTGGGGATATGAGAGATGAGAGATGTTTGCACTTATAAATCTCTGGTGGAGTTGTCCTAACTTAGACTACATTTGGAAAACTACCCAACAAGTACTTAAAGGGTTACTCCAACCAAACACCAGTGTTTTTAACCAATACTGGTTTAGAAGGTAGCAAACACCGTCTTCCCAAAATATTACTTCTTTTCACTGGAGAGATGTCGGGAAGGATGGACTGAAGGCACAGCAGAGAGGAGGGGGCCATTGGCTGTCTGGTATCTGGATTTGCACAGAATTGACATTAGCCAGCTTGGAATTTCTGGACTGGCTAATGAAGCTGTCACGGAGGTGAAGTAAATGCTGTATGTGCAATTCAAATCATAAAAGTAATCGTGGTTCCAGGAGTAACCTTTCAATTATCTCTCTGACTATAGAGTATCCAACTAGGACCAGCACTAATTCTGTTACATCACACAGACCTCTTCCTTAAAAATTACAAACATTCTTCAATTTGCCATTAATTAAAGTCAGCAAAAGTTCTCATTCCTCCGCATTGGTGACAAACTACACCTCCCTCAATAAAGGAATTGCTTGCTAAAGTACCTGAAATGCAATCTATGGAACTATTCAATTCATCAATACATGGCAGATCCGCCATGGTGTCTCAACTATGTTAACCTTTAAACAGATTACTAGAGTCAGAATACTGAGTTCCATTTGCAGATTTTTACATTACGTGTAATTCAAAGCATCAGAATTTCACTTGTTCTGGTTAGATTTACTGACAGAAATGCACCTTAGCCTATGGCAGGTCAGCCAAAATTCAGAGAAGACTAACACTCATTTGCAAATAAAAAAATAAAAAAATAAAAAAAGGAACACTCTAAGCATCATAACAGAGATTAGTCACGAAAGTTATAATTCAAAGTGAATTTAAAGGGAATTTCAAATTAAAGGCCAGAGTAGCTAAACTGAAAATATAGCTGACTTAGAGAATTTTTCCATTTTGACCTTAAATTTGAATTCACTTTGAATTGTGAATATATCCCGGTTACACTAGCAATTCTGATTATGAACAATTTCCCAATGCAACTAGAGTTACAGCGTGGCTAGTTCGCTTTAATCTTGCCATTCAAAATTTCAATTCACTACAATTCACAGTTGTATTTATTGCTCTGTTAGCATTTAAATATACTGTAAAACGGATGCTTAGTGATTTTGATAAAGTTAGATTTCAAAATTTTCATTCTAGATAAAATATTTTCTGTAAACGTGTTTCCACGCGTTACTTTTCTAGCAAGTAATTTCTTGTCACCTTCCTGTCAGGACTATGTTACAGTCCTTTATATTTGGATGACTGTTGCACCTCCACTTCTAACACCTGCATTTGATTTTGTACCTCAATTAGAGAGTCTGTCATTTGCTTTAATGGCAGGTCCCCATCATGTCTGAGAATGCATTATTTTAGGTAAGATTTTGGCATAGTTTGTGGTGCGTAGCACCTACTTCCTGATTAATGATCTTATTATTATTATTATTATTATTATTATTATTATTAACACTTTTACATATCAATTTGTTTGTATTCCTGATTTTTTTTTCAAACTTATTAAGAATTATTTTGCTTTTTCTTTCAGATCCACAGCCTGATCTGCAATTAAACAATGAAATTTCTACCCTAAAAATTTTGCATTTATTGGTTCACAGGACAGATACGTAGATGGACAGAAGCATGAACGAGTCTTGGTTCTCACACTCAATCAACAAAACTTACACTTAAGCTATAAATCTATAAGTCAGTACATTACAGGGAATTCTGATAATCTGATCTTGAATTGCATTTGTTTTATTAAAGGAGCACTGTAGTGCCAGGAAAACAAGTTTGTTTTCCTGGCACTATAGTGCCATTAGGTCCCCCCCACCCTCAGGGCCCCCCTCCCACTTGGCTGAAGGGGTTAAAACCCATTTAGCCACTTACCTTTCTCCAGCGCCGGGCTCCCTCTGTGCTGGGGAACTCTCAACCCCCTGCCGACATCAGATCCGAATGCGCATTTGCAGCCACACCGCCCAGCGTCTTCTCACTGTGATTTTTCACAGTGAGAATCGCGGAAGCGCCTCTAGCGGCTGTCAGTGAGAGGCTGGATTAACCCTTAGTGTAAACAAAGTAGTTTCTGCACAGCTGCAGGGTTAACCCTAGATGGACCTGGGACCCAGACCACTTCATTGAGCCGAAGTGGTCTGGGTGCCTATAGTGGTCCTTTAAATGAAACTAAGCGGATTATGGTAATGTCATTAAAATAAGCAAGGAGATGTCCTCTAAAAAACCACAGAAATATGAAGAAATCCAAAGAGATGTGGGTAAAAACAACGAATGAACTGTGCAATTTTGCATTTTAATTTGGAACATGAAGATGAAGGCACAAGCACTACTAATCATGTATCAGCGTATCAGAGGTGAATTGAAGCCAAAAATCTTATATTTGCTTTAGAATTTCAACACATCCAGGCACTAGATATTTACCAAAAGCCTCCATTACAGGATTGGAGTCAAGTACTCTGCTTTCTATTCTTTCCACAGTCTGATTAGCAACGTGGGAGTCGTAAGCAGCAGCAACGGTGGCATAAAACTTCATAAGGCACCGGGAAGTCCATGTCTACGAAACAAAGAGTTCATCATCCAGTACAAAAAAAAAAAAAAACTACACAATTATATCATGTGTATATACATTATTGGGGAAAAAAAACACAACACGACAAAATTCATTCTTGTTTAAGACTGCTATTACTTACTTTCCCAGCACCACTCTCTCCGCTGACAATAATAGATTGGTTTACTGGCTCTATTTGGCTCTGGACATTTCTGTATGCCTGCTCTGCCACGGTGAAGATATGTGGCTTAGATTCCTAAAATAAATAGAGAAAAACCAACCACAGTATAAATGACACACATTACTACAAGCAATGATTTATCTATCCCACCAGTATGAGATAAGCAATACAAATACATTACAGCAAATTGGAGCTTTAAGGTTTTTTTTTGTTTTTTTTAAGTGAAGAGTGTTTATTTTTAATGTAGATTACTTGGTCCCATTTAAAAAATAAATAAAAGAAAATGGGTATTTCTGCTCTGGGACACCTAGGGGATCACCAGGCATGATGATATCTGGTTCTATCAAATGACCAAAGCAGCCCGTGTTGTAATAATTGTGATGTGCCAATCTATGAGATGCATTAGATTTCATTATGCTATGATTGATGAGTTTGAATATGAAGACCCTCAAAAGTATTTCATGATAACAACTAGAGGCATACTTTCTGCCAAATGGAGACAGTGCTGTTTCTCGGAAAAAAAAACCCAACAACAATATTTTACGCTATTCAAGAAAAGTCTATGCACCAGAACCAGTACATTAAGCTGTAGTGGTGTTGGTGCTTAGAAGAGAGTGTTGTTTATGGGTCTTCTTTTTGTCAAGAGTGTTATGGGGGAAAAAATCCAGACATCTTTATTCAGCTTACTCTAGACACTTTACACTACAGTCTGGGGGGGTGGGTGGGGGTTATGTTGCATCATTGGAATATAGCAATGAAAGACCAACAGAAATTGCCTCACACTGACTTGACAAGACACAAAGCAGAGGTGGCACAAACTGACAGAGAAGCTCTCACACGACTAAAGGTAATTAAACATATTCCATTTATAATCTCAGAAGCAGATAGACCCCTATCATGGTGGCATGCAAGGTATAGTTGTTAAACTAGTTTTAATCCAGTTAAGGGAGTGTCAGCTCTTGCAGCCGCACATTTGCTGAGTCTTACAGGTTTTTGTTTTTTTGTTTGTGTTTTTAAATACATTTCTTCATTCGAGACGGGTGATTCATGATATAATGATCAGTTTGTAAGCCAATCGGTTTATGAAATTTAAATTACACATTAAAGGGACACAGTGCAGCACTGGCATTCAGAGTCTCTATGTTCTGCATGGAGATGCTGAACACACCACACAGAGTTACCTTAATTCAATACATCTCTATGAGGAAATAAGACTGGCAAAGCGAGGGAGAAAAGGTAAGTTTAAATACCATTCAACTTCACAGAAAGGGGTACCGGATATTTAAACAGCCACTCCAGAATTATAGTGTTAGAAATAAATGTTTGTATTCCCACCACTATAATATTCCCTTAAAGGGTCACTAAGCACTATAACCACTACTTACTAAAGTGCTTATCTTTATGCACCGTTTAAACATTACAGATATTTTTTTTTTTTTTTTAAGTTTCTTTGTGTAAGGCCATTTGTGGCAGATACCACCTAAACCCCACTAAAAGACTATGACACTATGGCTCTCTGTTCCCTCTCCCCTCCACATGGACCCAGCAAGCATCTCTATCGCTGCCCATTCCCAGTTCATACCATGAGCCGGAGTTTCCTGAATGTTTCAGCGGAACTTAGCTGCCTTTTCCCTGGAACTCTGGCTCAGACACAAGTATCACCGTGATCCGGTTAACTTTCATTCTGGTTTTCACCCCATTCCAAATGCCCAATGAGAGTGGTCTTTGGAGGGGAGCTAAACTACATCAGAAGGGACAATAGCTACCTATGAGCCAGGGGGAGCCTTCACTTCCTTGACCTGCCAGAGGTCCCGTTAAAGTACCGGCAAATGACCATAACCATCTGGTACTGATTTCGGCTAAGAGCACGCTAGTTGTCAATCAAAACTTTAAGGGAGTGGCATTTCCACAAATCCCATGGATCATGGTGCTTTATGGCCAGATTGTTCCTAACTGTTTTTCATGTGATTTCGAGGTCTTCTGTATTTAGCTCTCTATATCCAGGAGATAATTGATTTAGCAAGAGGTGACTCAATTATCTCCTAGACCCAGAGTCGCCAGGGCGGGATCTGTATGTACTGAACGGAGACCCCATGCTGGGGTCTGTACATAAAAAGCTGTATTTGGAACAATAAAATCAGATATACACCCAAAAATGTGAGTCGTCTAGTTACTGGGAGAACAGAGCTATATCCAATGAAGGTTCCATTTCTGGCTTAGAGGAGAGTTTAGTGGAGGTAACATGCCAACATGTTTTGTGGACCCAGGACATACTTGAAATGAGAGAAATCTCAATGTATCTTTCCTGGTAAAATATTTTATAAATAAATAAATAATGCCAGATGCCTTAGGCAAGTCAGCCATGTCTGGATGGATTACAAGCTTTGGACTAAAGATTTGTCCTCAATGCTTATTTTTTAGAACAATATCTAGCACTATCAAGGAAGTAAGTGCAGGGTAAGAAGGGGTCAGTCTTCATTTCCTGTAGAGGCCAGTTTTACAGTAAATGAAATGTAAGGGTTTTGAGCTCAGGGAAAGTTTGTGCAAATTTTAGCAAATGTGTATTGTATAATTTAGGGTAAATAGTTTGTTTGTAAAACATTTTCCAACTCAACAACAAAAGTAATAGCTTGGCTATGATTTCCCACATTTTGTAATTTGGGGCTCATTTTATTAACTACAATATGAAAGAGCTGTTCATGCCAGATTACTACAAAGGAGTTCAAATAGACAACTCAGTACATCATTGGAGATGTAATAATCTGCAAAAGTGTCAGGTATAGAAACCATGTAAAATGAGTGATTGGTTAAAGGAATGGATCTTGTTAAAACCTAGATCATGTTGTCCTACGCTTTGAGTTCATGACAATTAAAACTTAAAGGATCACTATAGGGTCAGGAACACAAACATGTATTCCTGACCCTGTAGTGTTAAAACAACCATCTAGCCCACCTGTGCCCCTCATGCCTCCATAAATATAGTAAAACCTTACTGTATTCAAGCTTGAAGCTGTAACTCTGCATGCTGTTAGACTCAGAAAAACAAGCAGTGTGCTGACATCATCAGAAGTGGTAGCCTGATCCAATCACAATGTTTCCCCATAGGATTGGCTGAGACTGACAAAGAGGCAGATCCAGCATGATTCAAACACAGCCCTGGCCAATCAGCATCTCCTCATAGAGATGAATTTAATCAATGAATCTCTATGAGAAAGTTCAGTGTCTGCATGCAGAGGGAGGAGACACTGAATGTTTGGATGCATTTTAGGCAGCCATGACCCAGGAAGGATCTCTAACAGCCATCTGAGGAGTGGCCAGTAAAGTTATCACTAGGCTGTAATGTACACACTGCCTTTTCTCTGAAATGATTCTACACATCAGAACAAATTCAATAAGCTGTAGTTGTTCTGGTGACTATAGTGTCCCTTTAAGTGAATGACCATGGGAAAAAAAAAAAAAAAAAATTCCATGGCCAGCAATTTCTGGTGAGTTTGATTTGTAAAGATCATACAAAATCAAACTGTTTTGTACAACCCTGTCATTAATGTGCATGTATAGTTTCTGGTGAGTTTGATTTGTAAAGATCATACAAAATCAAACTGTTTTGTACAACCCTGTCATTAATGTGCATGTATAGTGCTTTGTACAGGCATAAGAAATCTTCTGTGTTACACCAGAAAGGTTAAGATTCCTGGCCTTGATTTTATAATCCAGCAATCTGTAGCACTTTTTATACACAGTGCTAAGTGAGATGGTCCATGAGCTTATATTTGAGTGAGTTATGGCAAAAATAAGCAGGGGGGAAGATTACTAGATTATAGGGCTAAACTGAAAAATACATTTTAAGTTAGGAGCAATTGGGAGTCAGTGGTTAGGAGGTAATTAGAGAAGACGGGCGAGGCACAATGGTGAGTAGGGCAGCACGGATTCATAATCACTAGAACCCGTTAGTAGTACCATCAGATGGCTACAAACATATGTTTCAAACCTACCAAGATGGCTATGAAGAAGTTACCTGAGGATGAGGGGCTGTGTGGTATTGCTTCATGATTTCAGAACTATACAGTTTATACACTGGCTGAAACGGGTTAACAGCCACCACAGTGCACCCAGCATTTGTATAAAACACCTCTGTGGCATATCTTGCTTGAAGACATTTCAGAACTGGAGAAACAGAAATTCACAGTTGAAACGCCACTTATCCTAAGGCACTGGATCAATCATTTACATATACGCTTGCTGAGTAACCTTGATATTGCAGATCTGAATCTTAGAGTTAAGCAGGGAATGTCCCAGAGTAATTTGCTCTATTCATTTCTAACAAATGACAGTTCTTCCATACACAGCACATTTGGAAGAATGTCAAAAATATTTACAGTCTTCTGCAATTTTCCCTTTACTGTAATCAAGAGATTACAAACTTAAACATTATAAAGAAATTACATAGGCCCATATTTAACCCCAAAACTACATCTCTTATGCATATAGGGGACACCCTTTATGCTTCCTTGCAGTAAATAAGGGCATGTTACAGCACTATGGATACAACTGTATAGTACCCTTAAAGATATGCTATAGTCACAAAACAACTACAGACATGAAGGCAGTTTTGGTGTACAGAAAATGTCCATGCATTACCACTGCTCAATTATCTGCCATTTAGGAGCTAAATCAGATGTTTATGCAACCCTAGCCACACCTCCTCTGGATGTGTCTCACAGCCTGCATGAAAAATAATTGTTTTATTTTCAATCAGATGTTGATTAAGAAGTTTGTATCTCCTGCTCGGTAAATTCAACTTCATCACACATAGGAGGTTCCTGCAAGGTCTAGCAATTTATTAACAGAGCAGGAGAGAAGAAATTCAAAATGAAACAGACTGTGCAATGAAGGAAGTTTAAACAGTAGATGACTCTTTGCATGAAGTGTTTAGGAAGGCTGTGTAAATCACATGCAGGGAGGTGTGACTTGGGCTGCATAAACAAAGTGATTTGGCCACTACTCCATACTAATTCTTCTTGACCTCTCTGCTGCCTTTGACACCGTTAATCATGCTCTCCTTCTTCAAACTCTTCAATCACTTGCTCTCTGTGACTCTCGTGGTTTTCCTCTTATTTCTCCCAACGCTCATTCAGTGTCTCCTTTTCTAAATGATAACCCTCTCCCTTGCCCTGACTCGGTTGGAGTCCCCCAAGGCTCTGTCCTTGGTCCCTTCTATTTTCTCTTTATACTGCCTCTCTTGGCAAACGTATTACCTCATTTGGATTCCAATACCACCTGTACGCTGATGACACCCAGATATCTCTCTCCTCCCCGGACCTCTCCCCTGCCGTCCTGCAATGTGTCACTGCTTGCCTTTCTTCCATCTCTGTGGATGTCCTCCTGCTTTCCGAAACTCAATCACTCTAAAATTGAACTCCTTGTCTTTCCTCCTCCTAATACTGATCCTCCTCTTTAGCTCTCCCTTCAAGTTAGTGGTAACCACATCGGTCCATACTTGCAAGCGCGCGGTCTTGGTGTCATACTTGATTCTGGCCTCACCTTTGAGCCTCACATCCATTATGTTGCCAAATACTGTAGATTCCATCTTAAAAGCATAGCCCGCATCCTCCCCTTTCTTACAGAAGATGCTACCGAGGAGCTTGTCCATGCTCTAGTAATTTCCTGCACGGATTATTGTTACCCTCTCCTAATTGGTCTTCCCAAAAGCATGCGTGAGATAGGCATAAGGCTATCCTAACTATAAGATAAGGCTAGGGACTAATGAAAGTATTTAGAAAATTGGGCAGACTAGATGGGCCGAATGCTTCTTATCTGCCGTCACATTCTATGTTTCTATGATTCAAACACAGCCCTGGCCAATCAGCATCTCATCATAGAGATTCATTGAATCAATGAATTTCTATGAGGAAAGTTCAGTGCCTGCATGCAGAGGGAGGAGACACTGAATGTTTGGATGCATTTTAGGCCCAGGAAGGATCTCTAACAGCCATCTAAGGAATGGCCAGTGAAGTTATCACTAGGCTGTAATGTAAACACTGCATTTTGTCTGAAAAGACAGTGTTTACAGCAAGAAGCCTGAAGGTAATGATTCTCTGGTCAATCAATGCAAATCTATGGGGAAAGTTCGGCATCTCCCTGTAGAGCATGGAAATGCTGAAAGTCATTGCTGCACACTGTACAACACTAACCCAGGAAGCACCTCAAGTGGCCATCTGAAGAGGCCATTTGAGGTGTTCATAGGCATTAATATAAACACTGCCTTTTCTCAGAAAATGCAGTGTTTACAGCAAAAGGCCTGCAGGGACTAACTATACGCAACAAATGCAATAAGCTGTAGTTGTTCAGGTGACTATAGTGACCCTTTCCTCTAGATATCCCTGAGCAATAATCTACACACGAAATTGTTGCAAAAAGACTTTTTAAAAAGTTGGAAAAAAATTAGAATTATTCTATTGTTCACCCATACCGGTTATTCACTTACCGGTTATTCAGATATTGTGGGAGAAAATTAGAAGGGAACTGATAACTTTTACGCCCATGTATAAAAACTTGAAAAAAGCCAAGTGGTGAGATTTTTTTTCCCCCAGTACAGCTATTTGTGCAAATTTTCTTGTCAATTCTTCCTAATAGACATTTGATTAACAAGCTCTTCTGCCCATTGGAGTGGTCTGGGTGCCAACTCCCACTACCCTTAACCCTGCAACTGTAATTATTGCAGTTTTCATAACCTGCAATAATTACCTTGCAGGGTTAACTCCACCTCTAGTGGCTGTTTACTACACAGCCACTAGAGGGCACTTCCTGCTTCATAGCACGGATTTCACACGCTGTGTGAGGACCTCCAGCGACGCTCAATTCCCCATAGGAAAGCATTTAAAAGCATTTTCAATGATTTCCTATGGAGAGCTCTAATGCGCATGCACAGCATTGCTGCGCATGCACATTAGGTCTCCTCAGCCGGCGGGCGGTCTCCCCCGCCGGCTGACGTAATGAAGGGGAGGAGCGGCGGCGACCCGAAACCACTGCCGAGGGACATCGGCGGGGGTCTCAGGTAAGTCACTGAAGGGGTTTTCACACCTTCAACAACCGGGGATGTGAGGTGGGAGGGAGAGGGGACCTGCAGTGCCAGTAAAACGGATTGTTTTCCTGGCACTGGAGAGTCCCTTTAAACGACTACGTAATGTACTTTTGAGCAAATTCCCTTTCCCTCGCTTTATCTACCAGTATTGCTGGCACATCTACATCGTCCTGCTCCCAGAGTCCAATACTATCTTCTGATTCTACTCTTAAATGTACACATTGGATTCTATTGTACTCATTTGTTATAATTACAATGGATGTTATTTGTCAAATCTAAAATATATAATGAATCTGATGTGATTTCTCATCTAGCATCAACCTTTCTGCCTCTTCGTGACTCAGACAGGAAAATAAGGTTAAAAAGTAATTGAAGGTGTAGAATTTATCAGTTCTCATCTAAAATTTGAATGTGAAAACGAACGATCTGATATCTTCCGACCTGTAAAAACCCATTCCAGGATGGGAGAAAGTTTTTAAAATCACCTGTTTTAGTTGTAATTGGGTTAACTTTGGTGAGATCATCATACAGGTGAAGATGATTTTCATCGATTAAAAATGCATTTAGTTCCTCTTCAAATGATTCATCAAGGTTCTCAGTAATAGAGGTCTTATTTAGGTGTCCATTGACCTACAAGACAAAATAGAAAACACAAAAGTTAAGGAAAGCAAGCAGGATACATTACCTTTAGTGTAACATAAAAGCCTCTGGATCCCATCATTGATACATGAAGGAAAACTTCTCTCGTTCCAATAGTGGAGATCCCAGAAAGATTCAACAAGAAGATGGATCGTAAAGGGCTAACTGCCAAGACATGTGACATGTTGGGAAACTCTTCCAATTCCCTTTGCTAAGGAGCTCAGATGATGTCAAAGTGTAATGGTGTGTTGAAAAAACTGATCAAAAAAGCATAGGGCTGAGATGGCCAACAGAGATGTTGTAGGTGGAACTGGTTTCACAGGAACTCTAGAAGAACGTCAGGAGAAGTCCGGGCAGTGGTGCATATGTAATTCCAGAACAATTCCTTCTTTCTTTGAATCTACAGCTCCTTGACTTAATTTCAGTGTAATGTTCCGCTATTCTGCATGTGGTAGCAATATCAGTAGTGTATAGTATCCCTTTTTAAGTGTGCAATTGGGTATAGGATAGTGTACAGGTAGCAGCTTTGGATTTGCCAACTTGAATAATATATGGGATATACTGGAAGCCATAGATATAAAACCAATGGGTTTGGCACACTAGAAACTTTCCTTTAGTGTAATCAATTTAACGTTAGAACTCAATTTTGGAGGCCACTCCCCTTGTGTATTTTAATGCATGCCAAAACAAATGTCTAGACTATTTTATTTTAATCGTAATATTAAATACTGTATAATTACCAACCATAGACAATTTTTAAAAAGGCCATTAAAGGATCAGTAAAACATTGATCGTAGGAAAACATTGATATACTATTGGAAAGCTTGGATGCACACAAATGCAAATCAGGTCCTCTATGAGGAGCATTGCATTGGACCACGCCGAAGGAGGCCATGCTTTCTCCATGACCTCATGGTTGGAGGAGAAGTAAGCAGTGCTAAAGGTGCCTCGGTGCTGGAAAACCTTTCTTTTCACATGACACACATTGGTGATTGAGGATTGGGGGAGGGGAGATGGTTAGCTATATAACTGGGGAATACAGTGATATTCACCTTTATGTTTAAATCTTGGAGGACCACAATAACAATAATACATTTTATACTTGGGGTATTACTTAACTCACATAGTAAGGTACCCTCCTTGAAGGAACATTATAGTGTATTCCTGACACGATGGTGTGAAAAATCATAGTTTAGGTGTTGTGTCCCCCTTACCTCCCTTTAAAGAATTTTAAAAACTCCCCTTATTTCCAGCGTTGAGCAGGCCTGTCACAACATGCTCCACCCATACCTCCTTGGCTGAGATCATCAAAACTTACGACCTCAGCCAATCCAATGCTTTCCCATAGCAAAACATTAGGTGGCTATTGGGCTTGCCATGCAAAACACTGCACCAATCAGCATCTCCTCATAGAGATTCATTGAATCCATGCATCTCTATAGGGAGCATTCAGCGTCTCCAAGTAGAGGGTGGAGACTCTGAGCATCAGTGCTGCACATTGTGCAACAGTGACCCAGGAAGTACCTCTAGTGACTGCCACTGGAGGTGTTACTAGGCAACAATGTAAACACTGACATTTCTCAAAAAAGGCAGTGTTTACATTAAAATGCCTGCAAAGACATACTATACTCACTAGAATAACTACATTAAGCTATAGTTGTTCTGATAACTGTAGTATCCCTTTAAGTCAGTGGTGGGAAACCTTCAGCCCTCCAGATGTTCTGCACTATATTTCCCATAATGCTCTTACAGTCATCATGCTGGCAAAGCATCAAGGGAGATGTAGTCCAAAACATCTGGAGGTCCGAAGGTTCCCTACTTCCTGCTTTAAGTGTTCACTTGGGTTCATGAAAGCGTGCCACTCCCCTTGTATATGTTAATACATGCAAGAAAAACATTTAGACTGTGTTAACATGTATTTAAATCATAATGTTAAATATTGTATAATTACCAACAGCAGACAATTCAATATTCAAAGCAAACCATGAATTTCACTACACACAAAAAGTGACTCATGCATTAAACATTCAACATCCCATCAATTACAGCAACGATTTTCCATTTCTCCACCCATTCTCCCTCTCTCTGTGCTTCCAGCCAATTCTCTGTTCTAGATACTATAATATAAAAATGGAATTTCTTTAGCCCTTTACCAAAGTGTAAAAAGTGGAGCAGTATTAATGTAAAAACACCACCACTAAAATTTAACAGAACAGGGTATACTTATGTATCCACTGGGGATGTCCAATCGTTAGGGTGAAGTATGTACATAAAATAAAAAAAGATATAACAAATAATAGTGCAACTTCGTCAAATATACCAAAGCAGAAGTAAAACCCATAATTAAAACATATAATGTTTATCCCTTACTAAAAAAGGGGGGGGGATCTAGGAGTCACACTTAGAGATATCTCTTATAGCACAAAAAACACAAGATATCATATACCAATTTATTCATATACTATATGAATAAAAACAAAAAAAGATTAATGGTATACACGGCTTCTGCCGTTACTCACTAAAGCGCCCAATAGATATAATGATTTTAGCTTTTTTAGTGAAGTCTGGAGTCCACTGCCACCTCTAACTGTGACTGGCACTCCTCCCTTTCTAAGGGATACGGATTATTTGTTTTAACTCTGGTTTTTACTTCTGCTGGAGTTGAACTATTCTATGTTGTTATTTATTTTTTCTTTCATGTATATAATAAACTTTAACAATTGGAAATCCCCTGTGGATGCATAAATATACTCTGATCTGTTATATTTTGGTGGTGGTGTTTTTACATTAAAAAATAATAATAATAATAATGAATTTTTTTTTAAATAAAATAGCTTACATCAAGTGCAACTAAAGTTTCATGCCATCCTCCTTACAGTCTGGTTTAACGCAGATGGGACAGCATAGATGTCGGGAAGGGGTTAAACCAAAAATATGTGTTTTTTTTGTTTTTGTTTTTACAGGACTATAGTTATGTTACACAGGCTAAAAAAAGAGACAGTCCAAGTTTAAGCTCTCACATATCTGTTTTTTGATGTTGATCCAAAATAAGGCAAACAAACCCAGTTTGAAGCACTTTCACATCTGCAACAAACAAGCAAAGACATTCCTTATTGACCCCAGAATGGCAGTCAGATCTCTCCTTGGATCAAAAAGGTTTTTTTGTTTTGTTTTTTTTTTAGCAAGTATGCATCCAGTTGCTGTTTAAACATCTGTACAGACTCTGATAAAACCACTTCTCCAGGCAGAGTCTGCTGACTGTGAGGTACAGGGTCAAAGTTTACCGCATATGTTCGCCGTCCGCGGCAAACCGTTCGGGACATCACTAATGACAATCTCTTTTATTAAAGAAATAAAGGAATACTTCAAACATAAAAAGGACTTCAGCAAGTGACTTGTGTGAAGTCTGTTTCTTGTTTGTTTGTTTGTTAGTTCAATTCATGAAAGTGCCGATTTTAATAGAATATTGTAAATGGGTGCCAACACACTTCCCAAGCTGGCAACCTATTTGCTTCCTCTTCCATTTCTCTTTGGCAGGTCACCAAGGCAACAGCGTACCTGCTAATACTTCTCAATGGGCTCATTGAAAAGCCTCTGATTGGTCAATCTGCTAGCACAAATTAAAAGTTGGTGCTAGAGATAAAAGGGGGGGAGCACAAGACCTGCTGCTTTTGCAAGCTTATTTTTTTCATATGCTCCTCCCCCAAAAAAAATAAAAAAACACTTGGGGTTGCGCCTACTAAATATTAGAAATAATATATATTTATTTTAAATCAGTAGAGTGGTTTTAAATGAACATTAAAGGCACCCAGACCACTTAATCTCAATGAAGTGATCTGAGTCTAGGGTCCTTTTAATCCTGCAGTGTATCATTAAAGGGTTAAACACACCTCTACAGCCATAAGGGGTGCTTCCATTGTGAGATATGAGAGAGTTTGAAATCAAATGCTGCTCATAGAGAGCAATTGATTGGCACACCTTTTTGAAGCACTATATTGACTGAGAACATCAATCTTTCTAGATGATAGCCAAGTAGGGCTGCCAACTGGCCAGTATTTCACCGTCACAACTAGGGTTTAAGGCTGTTGGGCCCGTGCCCGTTTTGCAAAAATAGCAGCAATGCAAAGGCCATTAATTTTATCAGACTGGAATTCTGGGCGAGGGTTGAGAAAAACGGAGCTAATATATCAACCTCTGTTATACATGGCAGGTACACACATTGCTATATACACACGCAATGACAAACACCCACTCAGACACAGTATGCACTCACTATTATACCCTTCATACACACACACACTACTATACACTGCGTATACACAGCATGCACACGACATGCATTGCTATACACAGCATGCACACACTACTATACACTGCGTACACACAGCATGCACACAACATGAACACGCCTTACATTGCTACACACATTATGCACCCTGATACAAACTTCTGCACACACACAAATATTGGGCTAACATATATTTCTGCATATACACAATGCTACACGCTTTTTTACTACGTGTGTGTGTGTATGTGTGTGTGTTTGTGGGTGGGCGTCAGTAATCTAAACAGGTAGCAGGACACTATAGCATCAGGCACATATATTTGTATTGCTAACAATATTGCATTCCTTTAATAAAATAAACAATTTTGTTTCCAGTTTTCATCGAGAACTCCTTGAACACAAATTAAAGGTCACAATGGCACTGCTGGCAAAGAAAGCAAACAAGCAAGACCTGTTCAAATATTGGCAACTTCCCAAACTAGTGCCTTGCAGGTGCAAACACAACAAAACAAAAAAGAAAATAAATAAACCGTGTCTGCCTCTAAAAAGACATTTTAATGCACAATTTTACCACAGAGAAGGGTCATTGCAATACACAGTGCTATAAAAAGCTTATACAAGAAGTTATGCAATAGGAACGTAGTGGTTATTATTTAACAGATGTTACATTGAAGTAGTCTCCTGTAAATACCTGTAATCCACAAGTGTTAAAGATCATGGGAATTTATTACTTCTGCATTGTTCTAGAACCCAGAAAATGTGACTACAGAACATCTTTGTGAGGGTGTAAGAGTTGAAAAATAATGAACACAAAAGTGTAAAGTGAAAACACCCACATAAAATAAAACAAAACAAAACACGGACAGAATGTTAAAATAAACCTTACATTTACTGTAGCCTCTCACAAAAATACTTTTCTAAAATATTCCAAAGTAACATGAAATCAATCTGTGTTGGCGGGTGTCAGAAACAAAAACATAATACAAAACATATGGTGAGCTACAGCGGACACAAAAAGTGATGTGTTATATATACTGCACTCAAAACGCAGGTATCCTGGCACAACAATAGTTGTAGCCTATGAGAGTGCGGAGTTTAACCACTACGCCCATGTACAGCAGTGATGAAGGAACACTGTAGCGTTTAGAATACATGTCTGTATTCCCCCTCCCATTTATACAAATAAGAAAATGAAAACAATAAAAAAAATGTAAGTACTCACCTTTTCTTCAGCTCTCCATTCCCCGGTCTCCCTTGGCGTTGTCATGACTTTCTACTCGGGTTACGTCATCCTGGAGGCATCCATCCATCCAGGATGACGGACAAATCCAATGCTCCTCATAGAGGAGCACTGGGGAGCAAGGGCACAAACGCGGAGCTCGTCTCCCTGTACTCATGATTCCTCCATAGAGAATCTTTGTATTCGATTATTCTCTAAGGCTGACCATGATGACACTGTGTGTGACACTATGCACGCAAGATGTTACAGTATGAGAGTCAGGTGTGTTAAAGGTGTGTGTTGGAGCCGCGCTTCCAAGCCTTCTAATTATTTTAATATTGGGTTTGGGGCAGTAGGATGTGGGGAGCAGGACTGCAGGCTCTATCACAACTTTAATAAGATGGGTTTACAGTATCCCTTTAATCTTATACGTACCGGTAGTTCTGAAGTTATCTGTAATTATTTTCAAAAACAAATAAATCTAGTCTGCAAACTAACAGAAGATGCAGTGTTACTAACAGACTGGTTCCATCTATATTTTCTTTTGATGAATGAAGCAATCAGCAGTTGTAAATGATTGTTGTTATTATACAATGTAACTGTATGCAAGGTTACCTTTGAATATTAAGTTATAGCATGCTCCCCCGGCTGCTTGAGATTTTACTCAATTACCCCCTCATTCCCTTTTTACATTAATAATAATTGTAAGTGCAATCTTTATTACACATATTAATACCAATTATATTAAACTTAAAGGCACCAAAACAGCTCTAGCTTAATGAAGCAGTTTTGATGTCATGCCCCTGTGTCTCACTGCTTAATTTACTGCAATTTAGGAGTTAAATCACTTTGTTTATACAGCCCTAGTCACACATCCCTGCGTGTGAATTGCATGCTGTTAAATGAACAATCTAAGAAACGTAATCTTTACAGCCTGCTATATTAATTACAGTGCCAGAAATGTGGTGGCACCACACCATGGTAAGATGCCAAACTGTTTTAGTTCTGTTGGGTACCCGTACCACATCTGGTCTTCTCCTGCAGGAGAACCTGAAAGTGTCTGTGGAGCAAAGCATAGCCAATGAAGGACTGTGGATGCTGGGTCCCACATCATTGCTAAATGCTTTACTCACCATTCAGTAGAGATTTGTGGTCCCAACAGCCTGAAGCCAGACCTCCAATGATAATATGGCAGAGGCAGAGCTACGCTCCCCTTCACAACATACTGGACATATTGATCAGGGATTGGCTTAGAGCTTTAGCTGAGCGCTCTCGGGCAATCACTGCCCCTACCCCTGGTATGGCACCTCTGTCATATCTCACTGACGGCTGTGATTCTGTGGAATCCAAGCACCATAAAGCCTTTAATACATTGAAGTGGTCATAGTCCTACATTGTCTCTTCATATGTCAGAATAGCAATTAGTAATTCACATGAATCTTTACTAGCCAAGATTACACACAGCATATAGCAGCCAGAATTCCAAGACAGAGGTCCCCAAAATGCAGTTGCCAGCTGATGAACTACAACCAACATGATTCTTTGCTAGTCCTAATTTACTAACAACTGAAGGAATTTGAATACCCCATTATATGCTGAAATAAAATTATGACATTTATTAATACAGATTACTATAAAATGAAGGAATAAATACAGGCAGCCCACTGGGGTACTGGGAAATATTCAGGTGGGCTGAGGCACCTGGGCAGGCAGCCCTCATGCCATTTAAATAGTAATTTCCCCCCTTGAAGAATTAAAGAGACACTAGTCACTGGAAAAACTGCAGTTTAATGTAGTGGTTCTGGTGTGTATAGTAAATCCCTGCAGGTTTTTTTAATATAAACACTGCCTTTTCAGAGAAAGTAGCAGTCACTCAGACAGAGATAAGGAGATGCTGACTGTCACAGCACTTTGTTGCGCATGCACAATAGCATTCCACTGCTTTCTTAAGGGAAAGAAAGCATTGAATTGGCTGAGATTGTTAATTTTGATGCTATCAGCCAATGAGGTGGTGCAGGTGTGGGGCCAGTCATAGGGACACCCGTGCAGCACTGGAATAAAGGTGAGTTGTACACATTTTACTTTGCGGACAGGAAGCTGGGAGCCTAAATAGTGATATTAAAAATATAGTGTCCCTTTAAGGAGGGAGGTGCTGGGGGCTGGTGCAACCACATCAAGGCTAAAGGCGGCCGGAGAGAGCACTGTAAGTGTCCCTTCACAATTCCCAGCAGCTTTTATGAGCCTCTTCTCCTCCACTCCCACATTAAGCTCTGTTCCCAGAATCAAGCAGCTCATGTCACCAGCAGAAAGGGGCCCGGAAAATGGCAATTTCAACTCACAGTGCTCCCACAGCCTTCAGTGCCAAGTAGGCTTCAAATACTCAGCAGCCCATTAATGACCGTATTCTTCTGTGTGTATGTGACTGCTAGTCAGTTAGCTTGTGTTTGTGTCAGAGAGCTTGTGTGTCAGTGAGCTTGTCTGTAGAGCGTGTGTGTGTGTGTGTGACAGTGAGCTTGTCTGTAGTAAGCTTCTGTGTGTATACCAGAGAGCTCTGTAGTAAGCTTCTTTGTGCGTACCAGTAAGGTCATCTGTGTGCGTTAGTGATATTGTGTGTGTCAGTGAGACTGTGTAATTTTTAATGATGCCAGCATACCAATAATAACTAATACTATGACCACTTCAATATAATAACTCAATCATCTGGTGTAGCAAGACATACCCATATTTTAAATGTTATGAAGTTATATTTAATATTATCACTTAAGTGTGTGTGTAATATTAATATATATATATCTATATATATATATATATATATTTATTTATTACACACACATATAAACACACACACACACACACACACGGCACAGTTACTTTTAGGGCTGGAATACATTAATTTTCCAGGGCTGCTTTGCATTCCCAGTCTGGCACTGAATACAACCAGGTCTTACATTTGTGATCACGATTGTTCTAACAGGTTACATGAGTTTCTCTTTGACATGTAAATTAATATGAGGAAAATCATATATGTCACTGCATTTTTGAACAGGGTGTGATGAAGAGAACAGGCATTTACAGTAAAACTGTCAACAAGGTTTCTGCAACACAGTCTGTCTGCATTGTACTAAGGGGTTTATTCAAACCAGTGGTAACAAAGAACTGAAAAAGAAATCACAACATTTTGGCCAATATCGCAAACCTGGAAAATTTCTCTAACTCGACGATTGGCTATTTTAGTCTGAATTTTAACTTTTTTTGTGTGTGTGTAAATTCACACAAGTTTCACTTCACCAAGTGTAATTCCAAGCACTGTCTGGAGTAGTGTAAAGCACACCATCACTGGAGTACGGAACAGAGGAAACATGTTGTCTGGAGTGATGAACTACACTTCACTTTCTGGCAGCCTGGTGGAATAATCTGGGTATGCTGGGTTCTAAGAAACCCTACTGGAGTGCATAGTGCATACTGTAAGGTTTAGTGAAAGAAGGATAATGGCCTAGGGGACTTTTTCAGGATTTGGGCTGTCCCCCTTTTAATTAGTGAATGGTCATATTAATGTTAGATGATAAAAAGTCATTTTGGACAACTGGGTTGTTACAACCCCACTGAATACTTTGAATGAATCGTAAAGACAATTGTGTATCAGACATTTTTACATTAAATATCAGAATCTGACCAAATGCTCTTTTGGCTGAATGAGCACAAATTCCTACAGACACAATCCAAAATCCTGAGGAAAGCTTTCCCAGAAAAGAATTGTCTGTCAGGCCAAATTCATACTAATGCCCTCTATGTTGAAATGGATGTCCAACAGGCTCATATAGGTGTGATGGTCAGGTGTTCACATGCTTTATTCCCATACCATATGTCTATATGCCAATAACCTGCCAGGGAGGACAAATACCCTCACAATGTGCCCTGCAAGTATGTTCTGTCATAATAGACAACAAGTGTGTTAATTGCGCAGTGCAATAACAGTGGTAAAAGTAGTACTGAAGGCCTACCCTTGCAACTTTGAGAATAACTGCCCCCGAGGGTCACTTACTTAAAACTGTTCCCACGCTGTATAAAAAACAACAAATAAACTTTTCCCACGTTGTTTTAGACAAATTGCAATGTTTACAACCTTTAGTGACGTGGCAGGTAGGCATACATCTAATGGCCATTGGAGTGATACTAAAAACCTCCAGTTATTTAAATATGCATGTGGAATAGTGCGCAAGTAACTCTTTTCTTTAGCCTTTAGTGATTGTCTGTCTACCTCTGCATGAGGACAACCAGTGTCAGTGAATACTCAATAGAAATGCATTGATTAAATGCACACGCTAATGCACACGCAACATAAGGTTCCCCTATTACCGTGACATCAGAGGAGGCAGAGCCAGAACCAGTGCTGAGGGACCTTGGTGCTGGATAGAGGTGCTGGATTAAATCTACTAGTTATTTTTTGTATTTGGGAAGTGGAATGTCCCTTTAATCGGGTGACCTTAGATTGAGGGATGAAAATGAAGGAGAATTTGTTGCACAAAATTTCCTATACAGGGTTGTGAATTGTCAAGTATTCAAAGTGAATTTCAACATTTACATTAAAAAAGCAAAAAAAAATAAAACAAAGTTGGTCTAATTGGTTTAGTCTAGTTGATTTATCTAATTCAGCTTTTTTTTCTTTAAAGGGATCCTATAGTGCCAGGAAAACAAACCCGTTTTCCTGGCACTATAGGCTCCTGGAGTGTCCCTCTCCCGTTGGGGCTGACGGAGTTAACAATATTCTGGAGAAGGCAACCTTTAGCACTCCAGATGTTGTGGACTACATCTCCCCTAATGCTTTGCCAGCATTATGGCTGTAAAGCCTTTTGGCAGATGTAAGCCACAACAATTAAAGTACCGAAAGATACTGAACACAGCTGGCTAGGTAGTGCAAATATCCTGAGAAAATAACTGCCAAGGAATACCTCAGGGGTAAATTAAAGGGACACTATAGTCACCCAGACAACTTCAGCTCAATGAAGTGGTCTGGGTGCAATGTCGCTCAGGTTTTAACCCTTCACATGTAAACATAGAAGTTTCAGAGAAACTGCTATGTTTACATTAGGGCTTAATCCAACCTCTAGTGGCGGTCTTCCTGACAGCCGCTAGAGGCGCATCTGCGACGCTGGATGCGAATTTCACATCCATTGTGCAGAGCGTCCATAGGAAAGCATTGAGAAATGCTTTCCTATGAACTGTTTGAATGCGCGTGCGGCACTTGCCGCATATGCCGCTCCACTCGGTAGCTGGCGTCGGCGGGGGAGGAGAGGTCACCAGCGCCTAGGGAGCCCGGCACTGGATTAAGGTAAGCTGCTGAAGGGGTTTTAACCCCTTTGGCGCCACGGGAGGGGGACCCTGAGGCTGGGGGCACCCTCAGGGCACTATTGTGTCAGGAAAATCGCTTTGTTTACCTGACACTATAGTGATCCTTTAAATACATCTGTCCAGCTACAAATCACATCTGATCCAGCTCCCCAGGAAAATGCTTATTGTTTGATGAAGACACACAGTCAAAACATTGCGGCTTTTGCTTTGCCAAAGAGGGATATTTCCACCACTACAAGGGGTGATAGCATTTCCCTGTAGACAAACAATGTCCATCACAGACTATCCCAAAATCAACACAGGTTAATAAAAAACAAAATCTGCGTAAACATGTCCAAATTGCACTCACAGAGGTTAATAAACCTACAAGATAAAATGACCTTCGATTCCAAGTTATTAGATTTGTGCACAAATCCTTTTCAGCTGCAAGAAGGAATTTTTAAACTGCGCCTGAATTTATCAATTCGTTCAAGAATTCCGGTTGAATAAGACAACACATAATCTCGGATGGAGCACTTCATTTGGGCTGGGTTAAAGAGAAATGTATTTATTCGTACCCGCTAAAAATAAATTTGTGTACAAATCAATAAACATATCTTGGTGAGAAACCAAATCTTTGTAAAATACTGGGTAAAAGTGTATTTTAGCGTATTTCATTAATTACCATTTCGTTCACATGTAAGATTTTGAGCAAGGCACAATGTTGATTTTTATTTTAAATAATCAAACAAACAATCAGGTGTTCCTCCTTAATAGTACATTCTATTAAGGATTTACATGAGGTAGCCATAAAAAAAAAAAAAAAAAATGAAGGATGGAATGGTAAAAATAATAAAATACGCTAAAGTACATTTTTACCAAATACTGTACAAAGATACCAACAAATATACACAATACTGGATTAAACCTATTAAGTGTATTATTTTTTTTCTTTAGAAAATGTTTACTCCTGGTCTTATGCTGAGAGAAGTGATGGCTACCTCTGAGAACTCACAAGGCTAGTTTTCCTGACTGGCTGAGAGTCATTGGGATTGGGATCCAAATGTTCCACTCCCCTGACATAGGTTCTCTCTGATTCAGAATTAGTTGTGTTTAGACTTACCTGGAGCTTCCCATGTGCCCTATCCTTGCTGTAGGGGGCGCTCATGGCTACTACCCTGAGAGATATTGGGGCCAAAGCCTCCTAGCCCTCGGTGACCCCCGGAGTGCGTTATTACAGCCGATCCGGTGTTTGAAGGACAAAAGGAGGCACCGAGCTTGTAGCCAGTCAAACCCTGCCCGCCGCCGACTGGATCCCCGCAGTCCTGGGCTCTGATTGGACGGCAGCACCGGGAGACGTCACTGCATTCCAGGGATAGAATCCGCCAGCTTTCCACTACAGACCCGGAAGTAGCGGCAGAAATGCCATGTGCGTTCTCAACGCTGATCTCTATGGTGATCGGTCAACAACCCTGTCCAAGGACTGGGGGCAGGGTGCTGCTACACGGGTTTATGGATTGTTAGATACAGAGAATTAGAATAGGATTCTGAGGATACAATTCGTGCGCGGACTGTTTGGGAATACCCAGGGCAGTCAGACCTGGAAGGATTATTTTTTGACACCTTGTCATTGCAAATCAAAGGTGTGAATAGGCGGGTGAAGTTTCCCAGCTCATCAAAGGTAACCGTGATAGATGGTCTTTAGGTTTATTGTGTGTGACATAAAAGGAATTCAAGGTTTGCTGTGGTATTTATGTTGCTTAGACCCCCCCCCCCCATGTCCCTATTTAGGAGGGGAAGCCCTTATTTTGGACCCTAATCACTCTGCCCCTCTTTCCACTAATGTCAATCTTTTCTTTTCTCTGAACTACTTATTATTCTTGGTGTGCATAGGGATTTGGGATAGGACACAGATAGACAGTAAGTAATGTTCAGTAAGCTTTGTGTAGAAGTATGTCTAGAAAATGCTTTGTATGTTAGTGAGCCATCATGCTAGGTTTGTCTCACAAACTAAAAGCTTCCAGCCTGTCCCTGGGGCTAAGGCAGTGGTTCCCAAGTTTATGGCACTGTTGAAAGCAGCAAACAAATTTACACTACACCCACATTATATAGCATGATATACTGGCTGTAAAAGTACACATTACTTTTGCTATAGTTGTGGAGAGGCTTTAAACAAGTATTATGTGCTAGGAAAAAATGCAGTAAATGGAGAGACGTGTCAAGCTGCTGCCATTTATTACAGAAAGAGGGAAAGGTGCAAATTTTCTCTATTCTTGTATTAAAGGGATACTATAAATGCCTGTATTCATGGCACTATAGATCCCTCTGCCTCTTCCTCACACCCTTTTTTTTACTTACCTGATCCCAGGGATGTCCCTCATCACTGGTTTGCAGCTCCTCCTCTATTTCGTGACGAACGGGCGCTAATGCACATGCGTGGCAAATGCAACACTCGCCTAAGCCCTCCCCATAGGAAAGCATTGAATCAGTGCTTTTCTATGGGGGAAAATCTGACATCCAGCGTCAGTTACCGGATCAAATGATTGATTTGGATGCAGGAAGCACCTCCAGTGGCTGGCTGTCTTTTTCTATGGAACTACAACGTTTTGCATTGCAACACTACGTGCAATAGGGACACTGCACCCAAATCACTTCAATGAGCTGAAGTGGTCTAGGTGCCTTTAGTGTCCATTTAAGGAACCCATTCTGTTAAATGCAACTTCTTTGTCAGCACCTTCGTTCAGAGCTTGACAAATTTGCTTCAAATCTAGGAGCCAGCTAGAAAAGTTAGGCGCCAGAGAGATCAATGTCAAGAATACAATTCTTAAAGTGACACTATAGTCACCAGAACCACTACAGCTTAATTTAGTTGTTCTGAAGTCTATATCCTGTCCCTGAATGCTTTTCAATGTAAACACCTCTAGCAACCGTCACTCAGACGGCCTTTAGAGGTGCTTCACACTGTGCAGCACCTACGTTAATGTTACCTATAGGGATGTATTGATTCAATGCATCTATATGAGAAGTTAAATTATTATTATATTTATATAGCACCAACAAATTCTGTAGCGCTTTACAATGGGTGGACTAACAAACGTAATTGTAACCAGACAAGTCTGACGCACAGGAACAGAGGGGTTGTGGGACCTGCTCAATGAGCTAACATGCTAGAGGGAGTGGGGTAAGGTGGCACAAAAGGTAAGGATAGTATTAGGCAAGTAGAATTGCCGTGCATGCACATCAGTTTTTTATTGTGGCCAGCCTAAGGTACACCTGTGCAATAATGATGCTGTCTAATCAGCATCTTGATATGCCACACCTGTGAGGTGGATGGATTATCTAGGCAAAGGAGAAGCGTTCACTAGGACAGATTTGTGAGCAATATTTGAGAGAAATAGCCTTTTTGTGTACATAGAAAAAGTCTTAGATCTTTGAGTTCAGCTCGTGAAAAATGGGGGCAAAAACAAGTGTTGAGTTTTTTATAATTTTGTTCAGTGTATTTCCTTTAAGCAGCTGATGATATTCCGCTTCTCTCCTATTACCTGTTTTTTTTTTTTTGTTTGTTTTTTTTTTTTGTTTCCTTTCACTTGATGTCTTGGTTTGCCTAAAAATAAATTATCATTTCACCGCTCCTGTCAACCACTCTACCAGCTCTGATTCTCTTCAGTTCCTGGTACTTCATATTCCAAGAGGCTAAATCAAGCATAAAACAAAGTAGACAAATGTGCAGGCAGTAAGGTTGATATCATGCAGAGAGTATCCTTATGTCCTGTGAGGTTACTTTTTATGCTGTAACATAAAAGATAGCAGGAAACCTGGTAATCATATCAAATGTATTAGTGTGTGTATACCATTCTTTTTTTAATATATAGCACAAATAGAACTATATAAATCTATAAGTACATAAAACAATTCTAAAAGTGAAAGTTTAATTTCATAGATTATATCTTAACAAATAATAAAAAAACAACAAGGAAAGATATTTAGAAAAAAACGACCCTTATGTTTTGGTATTATTTCCTCACAGGCTACAGAAAAAAAGATGGCCACAAACCAACTGAAAGAAGCCTTTATAAGCAACCTGAATGGAACTACAATTACAGAAATCTCAGTGGGCTTGACTGTGGCTCCTTTGTGCATCATTTGTAGAGGTTTGGTTCTTGTTTACTATCATCAAAAATACGGTGAGAGAAGACAATCATGGATTGCCCACTTCCTTCTCGATTTCCTACTGCTGATATTTCCACAAGTCTTGTCCTGCACAGTCTTATCTGACTTCCTGCCTCTAGTACCCTCAGCTATTGCTACAATTTGTGTGACCCTACTCTACATTATATACAAGGGAAGAAATAATTATACAAACAAATCGTTTCTTCAAATCTGCAAGTCCCTTCTAAATGCTCGAACTGAAAATGAGAGAGTGCCATCGGTAACAACATTTCGCGTTTACGTCAATGTTCTCACTGGCATAGCTATTCTAGCTGTGGATTTTGCTGTTTTTCCAAGACGTTATGCTAAAACTGAAACGTACGGGACTGGCGTCATGGACTTTGGAGTCGGAGGCTTTATATTTGGCAATGGTTTGATTTCTCCTGAAGCCAGATTAAGGAATCTGGATTCTCGCTCTGTATCCTCCAGACTTATAATGCAGGTGTTGTCCGTGTGGCCCCTGATTGCACTTGGTTTAGGAAGACTGGTCAGTGTGAAGTCCATAGATTATCACGAGCATGTGTCGGAGTATGGAGTTCACTGGAATTTTTTTTTCACCCTGGCAATTGTTAAATTGTTGGCGGCCCTGCTCTTCACAATTTCCCTGCCACAGAAAAGTTGGGTTTTAGCTGCAATCATTATTTCTGGTTACCAATTACTTCTGGAAATTACCAACTTGAAGAGTTTCATTTTAAACGGCAGCGATGGGAAAGGCACAAGGGTTGGCTTCTTAAATGCAAACCGAGAAGGTCTGTTCTCAGTTATCGGATATTTAGCAATATATATGGCAGGGGTGCACTTTGGATTATACATCTTGAAAAAAAGAAAAGTTTGCAAAGACTGGATAAAACCCTTCTGCAATCTGCTGCTAACCATTTTGTTGCTTTTTGCAATATTCTTTTTATTTCGGGCGTATATTGCACCTGCATCTCGTAGAGTTGCAAATTTGACATTTTGTGTCTGGGTTGTTGCCCAGTGCCTGTTCTGGCTGTGTTTAATAATGCTAAGTGATATAGTCTTGATGTTTGCACAAATTTTGGTAATCGGAAGTAAAGTCCCGAGTACCTGGAAGATAGATCAGTCATCGTATGCCAGTAAGAAGCGAGACACAGCACTCAAGGAAGTAAAAAAAGCCACACACTTTTGCTTAATCAGTGCTGTAGATAGAAACCAGCTTCTGTTCTTCTTGCAATCCAATATCATGACTGGTATAGTAAATATGTTGGTTGACACTATCCACAGCAGCAGTGTTTTTTCCCTTGCTGTACTTATAGTGTACATGTTTTGTAACTGTATTATCACATATATACTTCATGTCAAAGATATCACTGTTAAGTATTGGTGAGTACAAACAGTGTAGAGCCAATGGTATGATTTGAGAATCACTTTGTATTCTAGTTTACAGCCAACTGCATTAATGCCTTTGGCTAAACATTTAAATGACAAGTCAATTATAATAGATTACTGTTAATAAACAAGAGATCTAAAACCTTGTTTAGATAGATAAAAATCTAGAAACATTTCCACTCTGGAGTCGTTTAAATCTCATTACCCACCTCCCTCCTCAACAAAAGCGAGGCCAGTAATACTTGTACAGCAAGCAGTTTATAAGCGGCTTTGTCATTTTTAAAAAAAAAATTATATTGCACTAGCATGTCCAAATATCCCACCCCCCCCGCACCGCACCCTTTTTAAAAAATGTTTAAATGATTAATATTTTTAAAGAAAAGTACTATACTGTTGACTGTTTGTATACTGGACATGCATGTGATGTGATGTGCACACATACTAGAAAATGTACCAATTTCTGGAACACTTGCACAAACAGTAACTTTAATTAAGTCTGTGTAGCTCTTCAATTTACTCCAAGGTGCATTGGAGCAATCTGCACTCTGCAAGATCAGAAGAGAACTTACATTTGTGATATGTCAAGTCAGAACATGCTTAAATTTATTTGGAATAAGGAAATTACTGTAAATGGGAATTCCTGTTTTATTAAAGGGACACTATAGTCACCTGAACAACTTTAGCTTAATGAAGCAGTTTTGGTGTATAGAACATGCCCCTAAAGCCTCACTGCTCAATCCTCTGTCATTTAGGAGTTAAATCCCTTTGTTTATAAACCCTAGTCACACCTCCCTGCATGTGACTTGCACAGCCTTCCATAAACACTTCCTGTAAAGAGAGCCCTATTTAGGCTTTCTTTATTGCAAGTTCTGTTTAATTAAGATTTTCTTATCCCTGCTATGTTAATAGCTTGCTAGACTCTGCAAGAGCCTCCTGTATGTGATTAAAGTTCAATTTAGAGATTGAATACAATTATTTAAGGTAAATTACATCTGTTTGAAAGTGAAACCAGTTTTTTTCATGCAGGCTCTGTCAATCAAAGCCCTAGTGCACATGCTCCTAAATTGCAGTGAAATTGCACTATGCATTTAAGCTCCTTTAAGCCTATAAACAATTCCTGTAAAGAGGCCCACTATAGGCTCACCTGACAAGTTCTGCTTAAGATTTTCGCCCCTGCTATGTTAATAGCTTGCTAGACCCTGCAAAGCCATCCTTTGTTTATGTGCATTGAAAGCCTTCCATATTTGTAAAGAGATTTTAGGCTTTCTTTATTGCAAGTACATCCCCTGCTATGTTAATAGCTTGCTAGACCCTGCAAGAGCCTCCTGTATGTGATTAAAGTTCAATTTAGAGATTGAGATACAATTATTTAAGGTAAATTACATCTGTTTGAAAGTGAAACCAGTTTTTTTTTTCATGCAGGCTCTGTCAATCATAGCCAGGGAAGGTGTGGCTAGGGCTGCATAAACAGAAACAAAGTGATTTAACTCCTAAATGACAGTGAATTGAGCAGTGAAATTGCAGGGGAATGATCTATACACTAAAAGTGCTTTATTTAGCTAAAGTAATTTAGGTGACTATAGTGTTCCTTTAAGCCTAACATAGTTCCTGACCCCATTGGCATTCCATCTTCTATTTTGGTACAGTTAGAGGTAAAGTAAATATACTTTATATACTTTAATAAAAAAAAAAAAAAAGCTAAGACCAATTTTTAAGAAAATGGCCACCAAAATATTGATTACAACAAATTTAAAATATTTTTCTCAATTCAATACAGGCAAATATGTTTCCTCTTTCAAGTCCTTTCCAAAGACACCCGAATAATTTATATCTGCCTTTTGTTACTGAAATATTTTTTATAAGCAATATATGTTTACAAGATTTTTTTTTTTTAATTTTATTATTTATTACGGTTTATTATGCTCTCCAAATTTTGTAATAGACAATATAATGGTGCATGCACAACATTTTTTTTTTTTTTTTTCTTTACTTATTGGGGTAGAGGTTGGTTGTTATTTTTACAGAATTGCTGTGTTGGCAATATATGAGTTTAGAGAACTTTCCAAGCTCTACAGTCAAGGCTAGTATGTTTTTCTAATGGAGTTTCAATTCACCACATTTTCTTGTTTAGTGCATACATCCCTTGGAAGAACAATCCAGTTGCTCTTAATTAAGACTTCCCGTGGGCCAATCTGTGTCCACCTCAGTATTTAAAGTTTTATCCCTATAGTCATTGCCCTGTCGTGGTTTCCTCTTGGTTCCTCGTACAGAGCATTATATATTCACTGATTTTCTGCTTATTCGATTTTGACTTGTTTAATGACTATTCTGACCTCTGCTATCCTGACCTGTCTTGTTTTATTGTATTTCTGGTATCCTGAACTTGGCTGATTTTTACGTTTTATGCTTTCTCTCTTTTATCCATGAAACCCGGCCATTCTAAGGTCCTAAAATACATCCTTTCTGTCTTCATATTCCTGACCTATACTAGTAAGTAGGATAGTGTAGTCGTGACAAGCAGCAAGCCCAGTGCATCGCAGGCTATAAGGCAAGTACATTTTTATTTATTTATTTTGCAAGAGGTTGCAATGATTGTTGGAGAAAAAGGTACACCACTACTTGGAAAATGAAATAATATTTCACATCCGGGATTGCTGGTTTTGGAAATCATGTTATCCTCTGCATCCTCTCCTTCCATGATAGCAGAAATGTAATCTGCTGGTAAATCACCATCTTCAAGTAGACTGCCAATAGAGGCAATCTTAGTGCAATGTTTATATCGTAGGGCTTTCTCTGAAATTGCAATGTTTTAGATTACAGAGCTAAGGGGACAGGGACACTGTCAATGAAATGAAGTGGTCTGGGTGCCTATAGTGTCCCTTTAATTCTGATTTTCATTTACTAAATTGCTTTTGGAGGAAAAATCTATCCAAAGAGTTTTCTTTTTAAGATACATTATAATATAAAGGATTTTTAGCATTAAAAATAAGGGTACGTTATGTAGTGTGAGGCTGAATATTAATGTAATATTTACATTTTAGTTCATTTAATTAATCCAAGTTAATTGAACTTGTGTCTGCCGAGATAACATGCACATTTTACATGTTCTAAAATAAACATAAAAAGTTCAGAAAAAGATCTTAATCCCATTCTTCTGTAAATCTGTGTACACACAATGAAAACCTTTTAATTTAAATTGTTCTCCAAATGTCAATGATTAACCTATTAAACAAGAGAATAGGTTACCTTGTAACAATTTGACCATTATCCATCTATGCATTTCTCTGTATATAACAAAATCAGTTATGATCTAATTAATCTGAAATGTTATTCTAAATATTAAATCTTTATCTGGTTGCAAATATTAGTCATTATAACAACTAGCAATGATGATTCTGTACATTTAAAAGTCATGATTTAAATAGTATTACTGACTATGGATCTAAATTGTCTCCACCCTTATTAAAGAACAACTGTCATAAAATGTTCACTTCTCATTTTTTTTAATAGTTCATTAAATCTAATGAAACTTAATGATGTATACATATTATTATTATTATTTGTTTTTTAAAATCTGGCCATGTTGTCTAAAAAAAAAAAAAAACAACAATATACATAATTTTATTAAAAAAAAAATATATTAATGGAACACTATAGTCAAGACTGCTTTAGCTTAACGGAGCAGTTTTTGTGTATAGATCATGCCCCTGCAGTCTCACTACTCAATTCTTTTCATGACTTGCACTTGCAGAGCCTTCCTGAACACTTCCTGTAAAGAGACATCTAATGTTTATACTTCTTTTATTGCGAATTCTGTATAATTTTGGATTCCATATACCCTACACTGTTAAAAGCTTGCAAGACATTGCAGGAACCTCATGTATGTGATTAAAGGACCACTATAGTGCCAGGAAAACAAAGTCGTTTTCCTGGCACTGTAGGGTCTCTAGGTCCCCCCACCCTCAGGGTCCCACTCCAGCACCGGGCTCCCTCAGGGCTGGGGAAATCTCCTCCCTCTTCCAACGTCAGCACTGAATGCCCATGCGCGGCAAGAGTGGTGCGCGCATTCAATCAGTCCCTGGATGTCAGCGTCTTCTCACTGTGATTTTCACAGTGGGAAGCGCCTCTAACGCCTGTCAATGAGACAGCCACTAGAGGCTGGATTAACCCTAATGTAAACATAGCAGTTTCTATGAAACTATGTTTACAGCTGCAGGGTTAACCCTAGATGGACCTGGCACCCAGACCACTTCATTGAGCTGAAGTGGTCTGGGTGTCTATAGTGTCCTTAAAAGTTGAACTTACAGAGCAGGAGAGAGAAACTTTAAAAAGTAAGTTAACATATGATTGAAAATTAAACCATTTTGTTTTCATGCAGGCTGTGTCAGTCACAGCCAGGGGAAGGTGTTGTTAGAGCTTCATAAACATAAACAAAAGTGATTTAACTCCTAAATGGCAGAAAATTGAGCAGTAAAATGGCCGGGGCATGATCTATACACAAAACTGCTTAATTTAGCTAACCTTGTTTTGGTGACTATAGTGTCCCTTTAAGTTTTATTAAATATAATAAACTTAAAATATAAAAAGCGAAAGTTTGATGACAGTTCTCCTTTAATAGTATGATCATGAATTAATTCTTTCAAGTTTTTTTTATGTAATATGTGCTGTGGAGTGACTAATGTCAATCCAAGAAACAGAGAGGATTATATATAAAGAGGAATTCAAGGACAAACATCCAGAAGTGGAACACTAACCATGTAAATCAACATAGTTCATTTGCTAATAATATCACTTTTGCATCTTTGCGCCAGAATTACTTTTAACAGACTTATTCCACCCATTGTACAGCGCTACGGAATCTGATGGCGCTATATAAATACTACAATAATAATAGTAGATAGATATTACTAGTCACACACAATTGTGCAAGGTTTGAGTAATTAATGATTATATTCTAAAATGCCCTAGCTTTAGTCTAAGAATCATGAGGGGAACATTTTCTGATTTAAGCGAGAACAGGTTTAGCTTTTGTTTACAGAAACACATATGAAGAAATGAATAAAAAGTGAAATGTATTTTACATGAAAAATGTACATAAAAGCTTTTTTTTTTTTTTTGTATTTGTAATATTTTGTTTTCCAAATTGTCTAGTTGCATAAAAATAAATGTTTAAGATAGCACTGTAAAATTACTTGTCGTGTTTTTTTTGTTTGTTTTTTTTCTGTTTGCACTATTGAAAAACAATGTGACTTTTACATTTAAAAAATAAATACATTTTTAATATGAAATGTATGAAATTCTGCTGATGCTGCATAAATAGTACCTGCACTAGGAGATGTTTGATATTCTTTGTCCAATAAATGTCAATATAAATTGTGCTAATTATTGGGGCAGACCTTTTTTTTTTTTTTTTAATGTTTTAAAGTATACAGTCTGGCTGTCTTCTGTACACGGATTAAATCTTTATGGTATTGCTATTTCCTGGATTGAAAAAATAAAAATATATATCCATTAAGCTTTCTTTGGGTTTTTTTTTTTTTAATCATATTATATAAAATCTGTTTATGGTGCACATCAGCGGTTTCTATATTTATTATTGGGTTTGTTTTTTATTTAATTTCTTTTATTGGTTTTCCACAGTGTGTATAAACACAGCATTGAGATACATAGAATGCAAGCAATACAAGTCATCAGGTCAAGGTTAAAGGGACCCTATATTCACTAGAACTACTACCACTTAAATGGACACTACAGTCACCAGAACAACTACAGCTTATTGAATTTGTTCTGGTGAGTAGAATCATTACCTTCAGGCCTTCTGCAGTAAACCCTGTCTTTTCAGAGAAAATGCAACGTTTACATTACAGCCTATGGATACCTCCACTGGCCACTCCTCAGTGGCAATAGCGTTGCTACCTGGGACAGTGCTGCATAATGTGACTGCAATTCAGTGTCTCCACCCTCTGCATGGAGATACAAAACTTTCCTTGTAGAGATGCATTTCTGTGAGGTGATGCTGATTGGACAGGGCTGTGTTTGGCTTGTGCTGGCTCTGCCCCTGATCTGCCTCCTTGACATGCTCAGCCAATCCAATACTTTCCTATGGGAAAGCATTGTGATTGGCTCAGATCACCACTTCTGATAATGTCAGCCAAGCAGGCAGAGCCAGCAGCAGCAGACTGGAATAAATGTAAGATTTTACTATACTTAGGGGGGCTAGATGGTGGGTTTTAACACTATAGGGTTAGGAATACATGTTTGTGTTTCCGTCCCTATAGTGTTTCTTTAATGTAATGGTTTTGGTGTGTCCCTGCAAAAGTTGCTTTTTATGCTGCTAAACTTTCTCCCAAACTAATTTTTGGCAGACAGAAATAAGGTTCTCCTACCTAGTAAGTATTACCCTATATTTTACACAATCCATTCTTCCATCAATCTTCACAAAATTCTTGGACACTGCTGATGGAAAAACACTCCAACAGCACCATGCTGACCACCATTTTTCATGGTAGGGATAGTGTTCTTGCCATTCTCCTAGACAGCCCAGTTTGTTGCCTGGTCCACGTTTAATCTTGTCTCAACCACTGACCTGTGAAGCTCTTTTAAAGTGACTGATTTCTTCGTCTTGACTTCCCTCGCATGTGTCCTCCTTGCTTAGCCGCTGAGATTTTGAGGATTACTTTTTCTATATAATATCTGGGGAGTTTGACAGTTTCCACTTCTGGGTAATTGATCAAATAGTGCTAACTCTGAATTTCAAACACCTTGATATAGCGTGGTAGGCTTTTCCTAAGTGATGTAGTCTAAGTATTCTAACAGGGCTAGTCACTAAAGTATGAACTAATGCCACTAATGCCATAGAAGCTAAACTACCTAGGGTACTTAGAGAATTTTTCCAGTTTTTGGGCTATTTTGACCTTAAATTGGAAATTAACTTTGAATTTACCTTGAATTCTCACTTTAGTTCTCTTACTGATTGTATTACGTTTGTTTTTTCTTCTTCAGTGTCCCAATTTTCCAGTATTACAATTAGGGCATTTTTTTTTTTTTTACCATTAAAAAAAAAAAAAGAATGGAAGCTAAAACTTGCCTCGATTCAACCCCGAACAACCGTCACTGCAAACCTATGCTCCACGGCTGAGGTCAATCCCCCTCAATGGATGGAGGAAAGAGAGGGTTGGCTGAGGGAGGACATGGGGCACGTCAGATCTAAATTTGCACAAGATATGTATATGTAACATTTCATAGCGAACCACTGCACATACAGATTACAAGTACCATGACCACTTCAAATCACCTAAGTAATCATGGCGCTTGGAGAATCCCAGATATAGGATTACACAGAACAAATGTCCAATATGTAGTCGTTTTTTATTTTTTTCTTTCTTAGTAAGATCTGAATATTTAGACATTGTGTGGATGTATGTATGGGCATAAAATGTCAGCAACATATGGTAAAACCATGGGTTGAAATACATAATGTCCTCTGACCCAGTCAAATGTTGGTAACGTCCTTCCAGCTGTCTTTGAACATTCACTCCCATTGGCTTTTAAACTGGAATTTCATCGGTATTTATTCCACAGGACATTTTATCTTTTTATTACCGGCTATGAAACAGACTCTAGACCAATGGTGCCATCTACTGGAAAGTTCTAGAGTTCTAACTCATGGAATATAATACTTTCTGAACCTTTGCTCTGTCTGGGGCTGGATTGCCCAAAACCTCGGAAGCCCCATAGAAGCTCTACCCCACAGCTAACAGGGACTTACCAGATCTATAAGACTGTCTCATTTATGACTTTTCTGCAGAACTATGGTGATGCGGAGGCAGGCTTATGTGTTTGCTCAGTTAGTTTTTTGTTTTTTTTAGGTTTGTGGGTTTTTGGTTTTTTTCACAAAGTCACACATACTTGAGGCCTAGTAGTCTTATTTCTTCTCTCTCAGCTTGTTGTGGTTCCCCTCTATGTCTCCACACCTCCCCCATTGGTCGTTTGAAAGAAAATATAAGTATATCTTAAAATTATTTTGTGTAAATTATTTAAGGATAAAACATTGTTTTAAGATATAACACACTGAATTATCACAAGTATAACTATACTGTGTTCATTATACTGCACATTTAATTGGCACTAAGATTTAAAGTGAGATTGCGCTTATTTTCGTGGATACGGGGCAAAAAATGCTGTAATGGCGGAACTGGCTTTCACAGGCCCAATTCTTGGCAGCTGCACATTGTCCCTGTAATTGGCTGCTTATCCAGTGTGCCCTGAGTTTGATTGGCGGCTGAGCACTGTCACTCGCAGCACAGCCCTGCCTCTCCTTGCCTCCTTATTGGAGTGTGGATCAGTCAGAGGCTGGGACTGAGGAGGTCGCCCAGGTGCAACATGGCACACACTGGATTACCTTAGCTTTTCATACATGGTGGGATTTCAGAAGAGCTTTTTTTCTGGTGCATGGAGAGAAACAGTATTTGATAAAGGCCACTGCCTCCCCCCTTAAACACACACACACGCGCACTCACACACTGACTGTCAGCCCCCACTGTAATCTCCCCACAAACTTCCCCCCTCCCACACACTGTTAACCGCACTCCAAACACACACATACTATAACTCCATCACATGCTGTCACCCCCCCACCCCCACTGCCATCTCCCCACATACTGCCGCCCTCCCCCCACACACACATACTGTCACTCCCCCACACACTGTCATCCTCCCACAGACTGTTGCCCTCCCCTTTGCGAAAGGAGGAGTGGGGCAGAAGAAGAACAGGGGAGCCTGGGACAGATAAAAATATATAAATTTGAAATAACAGCAAATATATTAATTACAAACATTTTGCTAATGTAATGGAAATGGGCCTCCAAGGGCTACACAAACAGGGGAAAAAAAAAGTTGTGAACCATTGTCCTAAGGTAACAACAAATGTAAAATAGTTTATTAATTTGTTCTTCATTCCCTAATAGTGAATGCGCGCGGTGACCCGTGATGAATGTCGGTTTGTGCTGTTGGTTTGAGATGCCATGTGCTCAATTTGAATCTTGCTTGAGTGTAACTGTGCAGGAATGAGACTGCATAGGATCACATTATTGCAGTTTCAGAGTTTTGAGGTAAAGTGAAATGTATCCATGTTTCCTAGAGTGTACACACACAATATGACCACCAAATCATTATGTCACCCTGCCCAACAAAAAAACCTAAGAATTCCAGAGTATTGTGTGCAAAATAATGTGTCCTTGTGGCATTGGTACAGGTGGCTAACTTTGACAGCATAGATGTTTACAAACTAGATTTCATATGATTTCAGAAGAGTAGCTCTCTAATACCTAAGGGTGCCGCTGACAGAAACCATTCCATTTCAGCATAGATCTAGCCAGTTGATACAGTATGTCAATGTTGCCTACATTTTAAGGAAAATTGTTCCACATATTGTGCAAAATCATGAGGGGAGGGCAAAACTATTTTAAAGAGGAACTGTCGCTTTCTCACTTTTAACACGACCAAAAATCTAACTTAAAGGTTGGTGTGTTAAAAAAAAAAAAAAAGATTTAAAATTCACCTTATTTCTTTATATTTCAACTTACACAAATTAGTTAACTCACGCAGGGCCGTGCACATAATGCATACATGCGCACAGCTGTGTGAAAGAGTATTTAGAGTGCACATGTCGAGCATTTCTCTGTTGGATGCCTGTGCAAGCACATGTCCAAGGCATCAGGGGAAGGCAAAGCCACCACAACTCGGACGAGCAGCAGAGCTAAAGTAAGTTTTTTATTTTCCTTCGCTGCTCTGTTCACTGTAATAGTGAATAGTGTGAAGAACAGACGGGATGGTGCCTCTTTAAATTATGTTTCATTTTATCTCTCTGTGTTATTTAACACATTTACTACCGTCACTTCTCAGAATTTGTGGAGTGTGGAAAATAAAATGAAATGTAGAAATCCACACATTTTTATACAGCAACCTCCAGCAACAGTGTCAATCTCTGTTACAATCTCTTAGTGATCCTCCCTCTCCTCTCCTCCTCTCCCCCCACCCCTCTTAGTGGATCTCCCCCTCCCCCCCCCTTAGTGGTCCTCCCTCTCCTCCTCACCCCCTTTGGTGGTCCTCCCTCTCCCCCCTTAGTGTTATCCCCCCTCCCTGTTGTGCCTCCTACCTAGCTTTATAGTGTGACCGCGGTACAGGAGCTTCTGTTTCCTGTACCCTGCTGGACTGACAGGAAGTGCTCACTGAAACAGAAGCTCCTGTACTGCGGTCCACGCCACCCGGCCACGCTACATTGAGTGACTGGCAGGAGGGAGCGCTGTGCGCTTCCCTCCTGCCGGGTCACCCAAATCTGGCGCCCTAGGAGACTGCCTAAGTTGCCTATAGGACACGCTAGCCCTGTTTGTATGTGTGTATCTGCGTATCTGCATGTGTGATAGTGTTTCTAGCTGTATGAGTGTAAGTGTGTGTATTTGTATGTCTGTGTATCTGTGTGTTTT